AAGTTAACAATGTTAACCGGACCATTTTTTTCCAAGAGTGTGTCTCTAATGTTCCCTGACCTTACAATTCCCCAATGTCTATAAATTACTCCATTTCATCTTAAATGGAGTCAGGGAACCAGACTACAGGAAAATGATTGTTTTTTTAGGTTTTGTAGCATCTACGAACTCAAAACGTCAAAAAAGTCAGTGTAACATTATTTGCTATATATTACCAACCCCCCAAATCCATCCATTTCTGAAAATAACAGCAAAAGCAAACAATGATATATTCCCTTTAAGTCTGATTTTGGGATAAATCAGTGTACTATTTGCTCATCTTGGATCATAAGTTTGGTTGTTTAAAGTAATATACAACTTTTGCAAACAACAAAAAACAAAACTAACAAATTATGATTATGAAACATCTTTCTCGACTGTTAGTGAATAATCGTCTCAATAGTAAACTTTGAAATCAGGGCACCTGGTGTGCTGTAATTTTCAAGAAAAGTGGAATTTTTGTATCAATTTCCAACGATGGTCCGCCAACCATTGTTGGAAATAAACCCTAACATTTTTCAATTACTGCCCTCAATTTACCAAGTTTAGTTAATTTTAATAATTTGCAATTGGCTACACATGTGTGAGCTGTTGCAAGCCAACTAGTCTGGTTCCCTGACCTGACAATTCCCCCAACATCCATAAATTGCTCCGTTTCGTCGGAGGTAAGGTAAGGGAACCAGACTATAATAACAGCTTTTTTTCTTGGTTTTCAAGAATCTTCCAGCATTTATGAACACAAAACTTTAAACAGGTCAGTGTAACATATTTGCTATAAAATGCTAACCCCCAAATCCATCTTTTTTGGAAAAAATACAGCAGAAGCAAGTGTTGTGTATTACCTCTAAATATTTCCTGAACATACCGTATGTAAAAATATTAAACTTTTAGATTTGTCAACCGCACTGAAATGTATGTGGCTAATATTAATTTGATGGATTCCACACAGTTGAATATGTGATGAGTTTGCCCCCCAATTTTAATTTTCTTGTGAAGTTGAAATACATGCATGTACATTTCACATTCGTTTGTCTTTCAGGGTAATTTTGCAGAGCGAGAAAACCATTAAACTTCATTGAGTCTTTTTTTTCTCCCGTTTCATGCATATTTTTTTTCCTTTTTATTCTCTCACCAATGACCTATATACATATAAATATAATCACACAATTTATTTAAAATAAACATTCACAACTTTTATAATAAAGCTGTATCAATTAAAAATACAGGAAGTAAGTTTTCTTTAAATAACACTAGGATGCACTAAATGGTGCCAAAATTGTCGAACGTCTGAAAGCTGAGTTGTGATGTTTGTTTTTATTGGTTAAATTTTGTTTTGTTTTAAATTGAAAAAAAAAAATGTGCCATATATTTTGTAGTCAATCAAAAGTCAAATCACAAGTCACTTTATGAGTGGGGACTCCTTATTCATAAGACTCAGTGCGAATGCGAAGGGGAAATATTTGCTATAAAATTCGCCGAGGTTGAAATATATTCAACTTTTGCGTATTCACAGCGCGAATTCTTGATGTGATATCACACGATCGTGTTTGCTTTTGCACCGAGTATGAAGCAGCCTTAACAGGGATGAACGATGACTTTGGAATGTCTTTGTCCTAGTTCATTTGAATAAACCTTTGACCTGGCCTGGGACGAGATGACATGTGATTGACATGTGACAACTTACTTACAACTTCATTTCTAGAAACTCTAATACTGCGATAACCTCGAAACAACCGCTCGTCAACTGGAATATATCCAGTCAGATTGGCGTAGCGGTACTTTCCTCGCCTTCCACCGCTGTGACCCGGGTTCGAATCCCGCCCGGGCCAATATGTGGATTGGGTTTTCAGTCCCTACCTGATTCCGTGGGTTTTCCTCAGAATATTCCTCTGGGCTTTTCCTCCCACCTCTAAAACTGTAATTTCTTCTCATTGTCTTCTCTCTACAGGTTTCTTCAGGCTTCCGGGCTACAGTGCTTAAGGCACTTTTGAGGGACCCTTGGTTTCATTACCAGAAAGAAATAATAATTTAATTTTAAGGTGTAACATCACATTTAATTTGATATTTGTTTCAAATTTAATCATCAAATGATTTTTTATAAACTATACATTTTGTTTATGAAGTTTGATACCTTTATTTAAACATTATGAAGGACCAAATGTGTACAGAAAAATACACAATACGAAGTAGGCATCTAAAAACGAACACACTGAGGATATCACACAAATGCAAAAAAACACACACAATACAAAATGCATGGCAATAATTTGCATACATGTACATGTATTTGTCTTGCCAGAAAAGGCAGCAGCGCTCACAAAAATTTACTTTGCAAGTAGTTTTTTTATACACACGCCTTTTTGAAAGACATCATCCCCAGCCTCGACTCCAGGGGCGCGTGCTCGTTCCTTACACTAACCCCTGGCTGTGATGATGATGTAAATGACGCTGAATGGCTACTCACAGCATACTGCGCGCGCATTTCGAAGATTGCACGCCGGGCGCCCCCATAATGCGCTCGCGTGCTTTGCACGTAACGTCACGTACGAAAAAAAAAATTAGGATTCAAAAGTCGCGATGCCTGTACGATATGGATTATGTCAGCCGCGTTTTTCGCTAAAAAAAACCCCCTGTATCTGTGGTTGTAAAGGCACGAAAGGGGTACGTACATTTAATACAAATCTTTGCTAATTAACACAACGTCCAAACGTTGTGTTTGAAAGGATTGATTCTTCAAAATCACAACTTTTAACATTTTAAAGATGGCGTCGGCACGTAAAACGGATAAACTGCAGCCCTGATTATAATGTACCGTATTTTGGCACATTTAAATTACACAATTCCAGGGGTTACGATCACGCAAGGCATGATGGGAAACAACATGGCGCTGCAAGATCGTACCCACGGGGCACGAGGTTGCATCATCCCAGGTCTTCATTAACAGATTTTGCCCTCCGCCGGCACTTGTTGATTGATATTTGATTAAAATTGATTGCAAATTTTCAATTCTGTTTTATATGTTACGTGAGCGCTGGAATGTTTCAAACTGAGCACACATAAAACAAATACTTGGTCTGCAAAGTCCAGTACTGCGCTATCTGTATGTACAGCTTGATGCAAATTGTCAGCACAAAAATGCCAACCAAGTCACAGCATTAAGTTATCTTATTAGCCACGCATCATGGCTATTTGAAGTCAACGTATGTTGCCGAATGACACTGATTTTACATTACGAAGACTGAGTAATTTTTTTTCGTCAGAATATAATACAATGAATCTCTGTTCCAACCAATCAGCTTGATTATGGCCATGATGTCAGTCGCCCTGTAGTCCTTTTACTGATTTGCATACCCCGCGTTCGATTACGTTCGCTTACTCGTGCAAGCGCTGCTGTGTTCAGTTTCAACCCTCATGTGACTTCTCACGCTTACTTGAGCCTGGCCCAAGGAACCGACCCACTGAGTCAGTTACTTGGGTAAGTATCCGACAATACAATGTAAAAACATGGCGGCTAAGTCTCACGCTGTGGCTGCGGGGGGATTCAAAAGTGTCTCAGCTTCACTTCACACTAGTACTAGATGACAGGAGGAAAGTTAAAGCCCGAGTCCATCATTTGCAGCTATCCAAAAAAGTAACCGGCGTAATTATTGTTGAAAAACATACTGGTTGAAAGATAGTAAGGGGACTAAACTCCCTGTGAAATTATACTTTCTGGCAAGCTCTCATTTTGAAGAAATCAACGAAAGAAGGCATTTCCAATGGTGCTTCTTAAGAAGCACCGTAGGAAAATTTAAATTAGTTGTTCGTTTTTGTTATTCGGCGCAGCGCGCACAAGCATTGGAACGACGCACAGGCGCGCGCGGTTGCTATAATTCGCAACATCGCGTAAAGCTGCAATTCAAAACAATTCGAAACAGGATTTAGCAACTTTTGATTTTAAATTGAGATCCTAGAATGCTGTTTTTCTCGGAATATGAAGCTGAAGCTGAGCTGAAACTTCATCAAGTAAGTTGTTCAGTATCCTTCATTAGATTTTGAACACTTTTGTTGCTTCAAACGAACAAAATGCACTAATTACAAATGATGGACTATAGCTTTAAGTCATTTTAAAACATACCCGGCATTTCTTGTTCACCATGGCTCGCTGAATTCGACGGCTTGAATCAATTTGCATAGGGGATTTAATCGCCACATGACCTCTTGACCCAGTCCGGTTGCTATGGCTCGACCTCTAGTAATCCAAGATCATTCATTTATTGCTACAGATTGTGCGTGTGCATCTATACCCAAGACAAAAGTACGGGTAAGCGTGAGGGAAGTATAATCGAACGCGGTGATAAATGAACTTCAACCATTGCTATGACGTCACACTATTGTTAAAAGTATGGATTCCGATCTACAAATCTCTTACACTGGTCACAAAGTGTGGATTCGGAACGACAAATCTTTAGTAAAGTGTGGATTCAGAATTACGAATCCACACTTTGAACACGTCGGACAATTGTTCTCCATAATGAGCATGAATAGGACCGTCTGTGTGAAAATTTGCTTTCCGAAAATTACCAAGCTATCTTCACTGTCAGATTCTCCGCCGTCACTGCAAAATCTACTTTAAGACAGAAAGAAATCATCGTCTGAACTATCCATTATGACGTAAGGAGCCTATACACACATATTGACTTGGTTGTATGGATGTGGCGATACACATGATAAACAAGCCAGGAAAAAATGTTGCAACCTGACGCCACTTCCGCGCTTGTGTACAAAGTCTAAGGAGAGTCATTGCAAGTATTTCCAAACAAAATTGGAAACATTTCTCAGTCCCAGATTCATGTCTTATCGTCATTTTTGCAACGAATGACCTTCATTGAGATGATATATGAAAAAAACCAGTGGCGTCAGGTTGCAACATTCTTTCCAATACTTCTGTTGACGCAATGGTTTAAGTCGAAGGATACACTCGCAAGTGTGGATTCTTAATTTACGAATTCAGTCGGCGCTTCGTGCCTCGTGAATTCTTAAATCATGAATCCACACTTTCTCGTGTATTCTCCTTAACATAAACCGCATTTGTTTTCCGCCCATGTTTACTTCTTCATTATATACCCCTTCTCAGTTTTGCTTTTCGTCACCGGGTCTCTGTGTGAGTAGGTTTTCAATTAGCCTGACTCCAATCTCGGTTGTTCTTCGTCTCTTGTCGGCCGCCAGATGTTGACGCTCTGATCGCTGCCTCCCGCTGCCAAGACGCCGTTGTTGGTATGGATGGCGGAGAGAGAGGTCGTGTGCTCGATGGTACGGATGGGGGAAGGATCATGGTTCGGCTCATGGATCTGGGAAAACAAAGATATAATGAAATGAAAAGGTTTGGTTAGGAGTCCTGTAATTACTTTACAAAGTTGCAAAAGTTGATAACTATTCAACCTTAACCAGTTCGCGCCGGAGGCCGCGTATACACGCAAAAGCTTTGCTGTATTCGGAATGGATGACAGATAAACTTGCAGGGAGCGAGGCCGGAAATATCTGTCACCGACACGCTCGCAGCGAGCGAGGCCGGAAATATGAGTGTGCTGCCCGAGGGTGATGGCTTCATCCCGCCTGGCTTGAGGTTGAGTGATAAGTAATTCCGCGCCTCATTCCGTTCTTGTCAAAATAATCCCGGCGCAAACTGGTTAAAGTAACCCATTAGCACCTGTACTACATTTTATCAAATTGTATTTATTCCCTAATAAATTCATAAACCATAGAGTGATAAGGCAGTTTTGGGCGGTACAGGGAGTAACGGGCAGGGATGGTTCAAGAGGCTCGTTTAAGAGAGTCAGTGTACTCACTTTGATGGTACGATCTGTGGAGCAGGTTACCACTGATCCCAGGCTGTGCAGGATACCAGTTACTTTGCTCTCGTGGCCGACGTCGTATGTCTGAAAGAACCAAAGCAAAAATGAAATCTTGTCATACACTCTAAATCTTAATATCCGTAACTCTTGAAGTAGACTGAAGCAGGCACAACGTGCTGTCCGTGTGCTTGCTTGAAGAAATTCGCAAGCTTTCTCGGGTGGGACTCGAACCAATGACCTCCAACTTTCTTCTCAGTGCAAGTAGCTGATGGAGGTATCTAGTGTTGTATCTGACTCGAACCAGCGAGCCTACGGTAACCACTCAACCACTGAGCTTGCCCTGGCTACAAGGCAAGCTCATTGTTTGAGTGGTTGAGTTTTTAAGACATTTGCAATAGTAAGCTGGAGGTTGTGGGTTCGAGTCCCACCCAAGCAGGCTTGTGAATTTTTACTCTCGCACGCTCTTTGAAAGCACTGTGAAAAAAAAATACTTATGTTGGTGAAAGGTTAACCAAATATGGAAGAAATAACTGTATATTAATGTCAGGAAATACTGACTAGCGTTACCTGTACTATGTCGAACTTTCCTTGGGTGGGGTCGATGACGTTCACTTTGCCATCTTTCCGTCCGACCCAGAGCTGACCCAAGCCGTAGGACATACACATGGGGAACTTATCCAGCTGAAAATGTAACAATTCAGGCCAAAAAGGAAATATGGTAGATTTTACGTTATTTTTGTTTGTTATTTTCTATTTGTATTTGATGATGATAATGATGTCATCATCATGTCACTGTACACATCTTGCAGTCAGTATCAATTTATGGTCAAAAAATGAACCTCGCATGAGATGCACGTGCTCAAACAACCACTTTCAAAAATAGGAGGGAAAAACCCCAAAACTCTTTATCGAAACAATAGGTATTTGGACTGAACTACTCAGACAATCTCATATATGCTCAGAAAGCAAAGAATGGGTATCACCCTTTTCACTTCAGAACCCATGCCTACATTTCTTGAGGTTACCTCAATTTTCTTGAGCAGTTTCCCCGCCCGGCGGTCGAACACGGCTATCGTCATGTCCTCACTTCCCGATATGATGTAGTCGTTGTCTGAGGCTAAACACAGGACCGGCATCTTGTGCAGCCGCAGTTTGCTGGACTGGTTATCGTCTGTCAGACAGGAACACACAAAGAAAGTAGGATTCACAGCTTTGTTGTAGTCAAGTACATTGCAATAAGTACGAGTACGAGTACCTTGCCATGAGTATGAGTATCTTACTATGATGACAACTTTGCCATGATTATGAGTACAAGTATTTTTTTTAAGAGTACGAGTACGAGGTTTTTTGTCATGAGTATGAGAACGAGTATTTTGCCAAGAGTATGAACACGAGTATGAGTACTTTGAGAACAGTATGAGTGTGAGTATGAGTATTTTGCCATGAGTACAAGTACGAGTACAAGTACCTAGCCATGAGTACTAGTATGAGCATGAGTACTAGTATGAGCATGAATACTTCGCCACAAGTACAAGTACCTTACAATGAGTACGAGTACGGGCACCTTACGACGAGTACGAGTACAAGTGTTTTGTCATGAGTTTGAGCACGAGTATGAGTATTTTGAAAACTGTATGAGTGTGAGTATGAGTATTTTGACAACAGTATCAGTGTGAGTATGAGTATTTTGGCAAGAGTATGAGCAGGATACGAGTGCTTTGCCATGAATATGAGCACAAGTACTTTGCCATGAGTACAAGTATGAGTACGAGTACCTAGCCATGATTACTAATATGAGCATGAGTACTTTGCCGTGAGTATTGCGTATTGGTATGAGCATGAGTATTCTGCCAAGAGTATGCGCGCAACTATGAGTATTTTGACAACAGTATAAGTGCGAGTATGAGTATTTTAAGTATGAGCACTGGTACTTTGCAAAGAGTACAAGTATGGGTACAAGTACCTAGCCATTAGTACTAGTATTCAGCATTAGTACTTTGCCATGAGTATGAGTACAAGTATGAGTATACTTTTAAAAGAACAAGTACTAAAATGTACTCGGATATAAGTACAAGCATGATAATGAGTAACCGTACAAAACCAGTTCTTCTGATTTGAAAATCACATGTGTGTGGAAAAACGCACACCTGGAGTTTTCTAGGCGTGTGATTTTTCTAGGCGTGTGATTCTGTGGTCCAAGCTGGGACTGAACAATCTGGAATTGTTTTTCAAAATATTCATCTTGGTTTACAATAAAGCCATATTCTCTTCACCAACATACTTTATTTTTCTCAAATTATGAAGTATAATTATGCCGTAAATGAATGCCGAGTTGTGCGGTACTGAGGGATTCAGGCGTGCGATTATTCGCACTTCTCAGGAAGCATTTAGGCGTGTGATGGCATGGGGGTGTGATTGCACGCCTCAAAACAGAAGGACTGCAAAACAGGAAATCACTTTATTGAAGAAATGTACAAATGTAGGTCCTGAAAGAATCAATTATGAAAGTGTTTTTGGACATGTTGGAAAAAACGTAATTGTTTAAATGTTGACATGTATATCTCACCTCTTCTGTCAAACATGTAGATGTGTTTATCGTAAGCACCGGCGTGCACCTCGTTCTGATGCAACACCGAACACAAGAAGGCAGAACTCCCTCTATAAAAACAACCATATACCAGAAACAAAGTATGAAAACTCTTCAAAATAACATTTATTTCTTGACAAAGTAAATACAGTCCCCAAAGATTCATTATTGCCAATTGTAATAAAGTAACACCCCCCCCAAAAAAATCATTCCCTTACCGAAATCCCTGTGTGGGCGCAGTACAGTCCGCGTTGATATCCCATAATTTGACCCACTGGTCCCACGACGCCGTACACATGATGTTGTCTCGCGACGTAATGTGCCAAACCCATCCCTAGAAAATATGAATATTCATGTATTAATGACTGCTGTGACGTTTACCATTGCTTTTTTTTTTAAATGTGAGGACAATATTAATGCATCCTTCCCCAAAAAGTAAAAAATTTGAATAGATTTATAAAGTGCCCCTTGAACAAAGACACTGACAAAATTGTGAACCATTAACATAGGGCTGGATAGCTCAGTTGGTAGAGCACCGGAACGGCAACCTGGAGGTCGCGGGTTCAAACCCTGCTCCATACAATTTCTTTGTTCAAATTTAAAACTAGATTTACAAAGCTCACTTTGTGGCCGCCCACAGATTTGAGCTTGGCGGCATCAATGGAACCTTGGCGATTACTGGCGTCCAGTTTTCGAAGATCCCACAAATGGAAGGAACGATCTCTGGATCCCGAGATACACAGGTCACCACCCTGAAAATATATAAAATCTTTCTTTTTACATACTCTGAATTTAAGAAAATGGTATCTACTATGACGGTTTGATTTTATTTCTTTGAAAGGACTCAGATATAGTTAAATATCAATAGAATTGATACAAGTTTATGTCGGGGCGATGAACATTTTAAAATTTGGTTTTTGCCCTCCTGAGAAGTAAGTTTAAAAACCCTGAGTACTCAGTGTACTCTCTACCTGGTAAGAAACAAATTCACAAGTTGACTCGGGTCGGACTCAAACCCAGAACCTCTGGCTTACTAGTGCAGACGTCCAACCACTTGACCACTGAGCTTGCCAGGGTTGGTTGGCTATATCTGATAAAGTAGCCGGTATCGCAAATTTGATTTTCTTCTTACAAATTTTTGTCACAAGCTCTCAAACAGCACTGAGCATACTGTGCATATAACAATTCTTTGGTGAAGGGTTAGGCCCCCCCAAAAAGTCTCCGGTTTCTGGTATGGAGCTGCCCAAAAAGTGGTGCGGCGACGCGGCTTTTTTTTTTTTTTTTAACCTGATTTTTTTTGCTTCAAATGTCGGCTGATGACTGCAAATGGTGCCCGACTAAACTTAGTGCAAATATATGGGAGTCCAGAGAGGCCATATAAAGCTTATTCTCGACCATAACCCAATCTAAAAACACGTTAAAATTGTGCAGCAGCAGGATTCCAGTCAAACCAGTGAGTTTGGCGGTTTTAAGACATCATCTTTCATTGAAAAAAAACCTTTTTCATTTTGCCGACGCGCATGGCTACGGCGACGCGTGCGCATACCAGAAACTGGAGACTTTTTTTTTTGGGCCTTACACTTTATTTGAAATTGACCCAATCACGATGAGCTATAACCTCTGACCTGCATCAGATGGACAGAGTCGATTTCTCCAAAGTGACCCGAGGTCAACTCGAAGTGCTCTGTTTTGGCCGGATCTGACCACAGTCTGTACTGCTCCTCGCGTTCCATGCACGCAAGCTGCCAGTTGAACTTGCTGTCATCGACTATGGAGCAAGATTAATAAAAAATTAGAGCACAATATCTTTAGACAGACACAAAAACTGAGAAGAATTCATGTCAGATTTTACATCTTCCAAACTCTAAACAAAGGTCACTGATTTTCCTATTGATGGGCGATTGTGTAGTTACTGCCCCTCTTTCATTTTGGTCCGTACAGTGGTTTTATCATTCCAAAATGACTTTAACCTGAAGCAGTCATCTTTTAAATTCTAATGACCCATTTTTTTGTAATTTTGTTAGCCTTTTTTGTAGTAGAAATGCCATTTTGCTATGCCTTTGTCAGTTGATGCCATGAGAATTGAGACACTTCTCCGCGCGCATCCAATAATTGCCATCTTTGTTTTCACGATGTGTTTTGTCGTCTTCATTGTCGTTTTACCCAAAAAATTTTCCTCAACAAATCAAAACCCCTACCCTCTACCCAAGACACCTCTGTTGGTTTTAAATATTGGGCAATTCCACGGTAACGGAAGGACGTTTTCACTCATTAAACAAAATTTCAAATGTGTGTATCACAGACACTGTTAATAGTTACAGCAAACAAATGACACAATGGTATTGGTATAATGCTACCTTCAATTTCCACACCTTTGGGGGGTCTGAATGCCTCCCGTTTATGAATTATGAATATTAATGAGGTCGGTAACGGAAGGACGGTAAAACGGACAAGGGTTTTCCAACTTACTCGCGTTTTGCGTAAACTCTGTGAATTTTATGGGGCAATTATATTTTAAAGGTAGGAAATGGAATCCCTGAAGCTTTATCTATACTATACCACCTTTCATTTGACTTTAAGTGTTTCGGTAATATAATTACAACGTTTTAAGTGGACTATAATTTGGTAACGGAAGGACGGTAACGGAAGGACAAAAGGTTTACTCAATTATAGCATGAACAAAATGTGAATTTACACTAATTATACAAGTGAAACAAATTGCTGAAATGTGTAACTGAATGTGAAATCAACAATATGCAGACCTGGCATAAATAATTATACCCAAAAAACTATTGAGATAAAGATAGAAGCCTGCTAATTAATGATAACAAAAGAAAAATGAAAACAACCTAAAACACATCATTCACGAACACAAGACAACTACAGAAATGAACTTCAAACCCATCACCTCAATCCTTAAAAGTTCAAATTCACAGTATTTGAACACTTGAGTATATTGGTTACATGTTTACCAACAACTTTTAATTATACCGGTAGGGTCAGTGGTTTACCTAAAGGGTGGGGGGGGGGGGGGACCAGCCTACATGTACAAGGTCAAAACATCTACTGGTAGAACTGATGGCTTCAGAATAAATGCTTTTAGGTGTTGCTTTTAATTGAACTCTAAATTCAATGTTTGAAATCAAATTACAATGATTTAGAGTAGTAACAATTAACTTATAAACATCCAAACTGAAGTTGTTAACTTGGGCATAATTTGTCAAAGATTGCACCTCACATGTCTTACACATGTAAATTGAATGAAAGTGCCCCAAAGTACCGGTACTTTCTTCCGTCTCATTTTTGACTTAATTGCTTCTGGAATGGCTTCACAGAAATTGTATTTTTCTCTATTGTCCATGAATGCTGATGGCAGCAACTTTATGATTTGATTTTCTGCAACAACTCCATACATGTACAAGTACTGGTACATCGGCATATATGTACATGTACATTGTACATGTTGTACATGCCTGTGCCATCCTTTGTAAAAAACACCTTGCCCTGCTTATCCCGCTTTTGTGAAGGTGGGTCACATGAATGTCCTTTCAATGCTCATTATACATGCATGTATTTGCAGTGATTTTCATTTTTCAAACATGAGAACAAATGTCGTAACATTTGAAAAAAATACGATTTGTCCTTCCGTTACCGTCCTTCCGTTACCAATTTGGTAACGGAAGGACGGGATTTAATTAATTTTAATTAAAAAACGACAAGTACAGCAGTGTCAGTTATAATGTCATATTGAAGGCCTACCTAAACTTGCTTTGCACAATAACTTTCAATGCATTCATACTGCAAGTTTTAAAATAAATTAAAAATATGTATTTTTCGGTAACGGAAGGACATTTTCGAAGGCTGAAATATTAGAAGTCACTGAAGCGAAACAAATTACGCAAAACATTAAAAACAAGTTTCAGTCAGTTTTTCAAGGCCAATACTTTCTCATGACAGAAACTGATGGCATTAGTACATATTTTTGTGTGTGTATTGGTAGAATACTTTCATATCACTTTTAATCACATTTTTAGGATTAAAACAGGATTATTACGTAATCCTATTTTTTGGTACCGAAATGTATCAAAAATAAAATTCCGACTTCAAATATTGAAAATATAGACTTTTAGCTTTCATTTGATGCCAAATTTGTTTAAGTCACATGTATTTTAATTTTTTGGTGTCATGTCCACTTTGGTGTGGAATTGCCCTATTGTTAACTATATGTATATTTCAATTTCCTTCAGTTTTTCTACTATTATGCCAAGTAAATAATTAATTAATTTATTGACCACTGTTTTAAATTATAGCTTTATTGGTTGTTTATTTCATAAGTTATTCACAAACGGGACCAGGCTCTGTATAAGCTTAGGCATTTTACCTGGTTCCCCCATCTGTCACCATTTATGTTTAATTGATCAAAGTGTTGTACATGTATTAGCATTCTATTAATTTTAGTTATTGTTGTAGTAAATAATTTGTTGCATTTGCATTATATTAATTTGTGACAAATGGAAATCAAACAATACAACAATACAATACAACTAGTTATGTGAGCCCAATTACCTAAAAGTGGATTTTTTTGTTCTCTTCAAAAAATTGGGTCTGCAACAACGCAATCTCCCTACTGAGGTCCCAAATTGTTTTGGAATAGGGGAATAATGAAGAACGTGTACCTGGTGTGACAGGATACTGCTTGGGCCATCGTTTGCCGATGCGGATCTTCCAAGTGGCGTCGTTGGAAATCAGCCGATGGAGCTCCTTGCAAACCAAACTCAGGCGATGGACGACCACCCTGGCATTAAGGAAAATATATACCAAATCATTGATTCCGGGCATTTCATAACAGCATTTATGTTGTAAATGATCCTTGTTAATGTTAAGCGAAGGATCACCGCTCTTAATAACACTGACGTAGTGATTTAGCAATACAGCTCTTAGGCTCCACTCGCAAAACAAGCGCATTCTTGACCACTTTCAAGACTTCAAGAGCCCAGCACATGGGACACACCACCTGTGCATACAGGTGCGCATACATATAGCGTGAAGTACGCACACCCTATTTCAGTCCTTCTGTTTTGAGGCGTGCAATCACACCCCCACGCCATCACACGCCTAAATGCTTCCTGAGAAGTGTGAATAATAGCACGCCTGAATCCCTCAGTACCACACACCTCGGCATACATTTACGGCATAATTATACTTCATAATTTGCGAAAAGTAAAGTACGTCGGTGAAGAGAATATGGCTTTATTGTAAACCAAGATGAATATTATAAAAAAAAAAACCCAAATTGTTCAGTCCCAGCTTGGACCACAGAATCACACACCTAAAAAAATCACACGCCTAGAAAAATCACACGCCTAGAAAAATCACACGCCTAGAAAAATCACACGCCTAGAAAAATCACACGCCTAGAAAAATCACACGCCTAGAAAAATCACACGTCTAGAAAAATCACACGCCTAGAAAAATTCAGGTGTGCGTTTTTCCACACACCTGTTTTTTTTTCAAATCAGAAGGACTGCTATTTTTATTCTGAGACTGAGTGAGCACAAAGCCATAGCGTCTTGGCGTGAGCATCAGGCGGCGTCGGCAATGCATTCGAATGTCACTCCTAGTGGTCTCCCCCAACTCTCCATTTCTTGCCGTTGAGGGGGTACTTGTGCACGGAGCCCATAAGTGATCTTACTGACGTTTCCCCACAAATTTATATGGGTAAACTTGGGATCAGTTCCTAAAGAAAATCACAACTTCTAGATGAAACCAGAATAAACTCCTTAATGACATGCACTAGGGGAAAACAGTTGTCTTTTAAACCCTACCTTGCATCGAGGAAGGAGATAATATTAAGCAAAATCTCCGGGGGGAGGGTGAGCAGGGTCCATCCGCCTGCATCCCTGTTAACGAGATCGACTCCGTCAACATCTTCATCTTGAGACATGGATGCTGAAAGGTCTTGGCTGTCGTCCAGAGATTGATCGCCTTCTTGGCAAGGTGATGCTGCACTCTGAGCCATTGGGGAAGCCTCTGGCACAGGGACGGGCGAGTTGCCCGTTTCAGTGTGTGGGGGCGACATTCTGCGAACTCAATTCTACACATGTATGACAGTCAGTGACAGCAATAAATGATTAACATTCATTCTAACTGTTAATGCCTTGGGAGAAAATGTTGCAACCTGACGCTACTTTTTTCTTCATGCATCATCTCAATGAAGGTCAGTCATTGCAAAAATGACTGCCCAATAGCCGTAGCCTTGTTGCCATCTGTAGTTCGTGGCTCCGTAGGATTTTTTTCTAAAAGGGAAGTAAAGTCCGACGTTTCATTAGGTCTGATTCCCCGCCCCCTGAATACAACATCACAACGATATTTAGCACTGAACCAGACTAGGCAACAAGGCTACGAATAACCATGGAGGAAGGAATTAATTCCTTCCTCCATGGAATAACGCGCAGTCAAAAATGATGATAAGACATGAATCTGGGACCGAGAAACATTTTCAATTTTGTTAGGAAATACTCAGAAAATTTTTTTGATCTCCAAGACTTTGTACACAACCACTGAAGTGGCATCATGTTGCAACATTTTTTTCCATGCCTTGAACTGTAATGTAATTGTAAAAGTAAAAACACAATGCATAAAGGATTCGATGTATAAACCATGAATAAACCAATATTGCAATAATTAAAAAAACGAAGAACATGGATGAGCGAATCACACACACTGGCATTGCACACACACAAACAACAAACGATTTCATTCAAGAATGATCTCCCATTCGCATCAAAATAAACTCATCCACCCACCACCGATGTCCAGGTGCCAATAAGATAAATGCAAAATTGCCGCTACTTACACGCTGGCACAAACACGATGACAAACAGCTAAAAATATATCAAACAAACGCAATGACTCACCATCTACACGACCCATACCGCGCGCACCAAAGCGGTTACTGAATGTGGCATGTGCGTTTGTTTTTGGAGATAGCGCCCTCACTCGGCAAAATGAGCTCAGTCTTAATATTTCGGCCGCTTAATTTCATATCTGATGTACATGTATTTCCAGCAACAATCATCATACTGAGCTGATGACCTCAATCGAATGATCCTAATTTAATCATTATCAATCGTGAATATTACTGCATAATTGGCAAGGATTATTTACAACACTGTAAATTATATTGAAAATGAAATGAAAGCATCAAATTGAAGTGCAAACCCTAAATCACTTTTGGAAATTAGCCTGGGCCAGTTTGATTAAAAAAAACCCATTTAAAACTATAAAAGAAAATATTTTTGTTTTGGAACCGAAAGGCTGATGTAAAGTGTTTTTTTCTCCCTTTTTCATTGCTATATTATTGGTAGAGCACACATTTTTATATACCAGTGGAAGTTATTTTCTTTCAAATCTTTTCTAATATTTCTCCCGGCCCCGTTTAGGATAGGAGTTTTCATTTCATTTCATTTATTTTATTTTTTCGGGATACATTTGACAACATAAACATAAAATAGACGATACATAGATTTTTGCAGATTTTTTCCCCCTTTATTTTACAAAAAAATTGCTCTGTAATCTATTTTAAGTAGGTTATTATTAAAATGGTTCTTGTGGTATTTTGCGCACTTTAAAAAAGAAGACAATTGTGAAAATCGTGTGTATTTCCACGCGCGTTGGTTTTGTACACGTTTTCGCGCTCGCCTGCGCATAATTTGTCACTGGTCCCATTTTGAAGAAACGATTGGTGCGCTCAAAGGAATCACACGCCGGGTACATGCACGGGTCCGGGTACCAGCGAAAACCGGTTCAAAGAATCTTGAAATAAATGGCGAAATGGCGTGGCAACCCCAACCAGCAGGACTGTCGCAAATTTTACAACTCTTGAAAGAATCCCAGAGTCCGGACACTGAAATTCAACGAGCTGTTCAACAAGTATCCTTTTTATCCAGTGGGATTGTTTCTGTTGAAAACTCGGAGTGTTTTTGGGTCAATTTAGGGGGGTTATTTTGACGTGACAAGTGTGTCGTTTGTGAATGTGTGATTTGATAAACGGCGTGATATATGCACGTGTTGAACGTGTGTGCACCAGCAATGGAGGATTGGCACGGGCACTCGTCGTACTCGCGCTCGTAGTCGAAGTTGACTCGTAACAGTGGCTATTGTTACGGCAGTCGATCGTCTATAGTATTCAATGTCAAGATCTTTGGTTCTTGGACATGTTGGACATTGTTGGAACCTGACTAGGGGCGCATCAGAACCGGTGTCATGCCAAAAACCGTCCGGTGCCAAATAGTGTCCGCTAATTATTAGCATAATGCGATGTGATTGGTCATGCGTCTATGACATCATATTATTTACGTAAGCTTGCCAAATAGTGTCTGCGCTTAGCATCCTCTTGCGTGCCTTGTCGAGCTGTCAAGACGTCGTATGGATAAGAATTAAGATCTTTTTTCACCTGAATTTGCTTTTTACAATCTGTTTTAACGTTTTCTTTGTTATCTGTGATTACTGTTTTGACTAACTTTCCCTATAGTTTAAACTTTATATTTGTGCAAAATGTTTGTGTTTTTTCCGTGTCAGTTCACCTGTTTGAAAACACAGTAGGCCTATGTATGTAGGCCTAACGTGTTAGTACTTCTGTGCTGTGTACTTGTACTAGTTGTAGCATTATAACCAATGTTATATTTTACGGTTTTTCCTGCTAAATACTGTCCGATTTTTCCTGCCAAATACTGTCCGATTCCTCCTGCCAAATATTGTCCGATTCTCCCTGCCAACTACTGTCCCATTTTTCCTGCCAAATACTGTCCGATTTTCCCGCTCATACTGTCCGATTCCCCCTGCCAAATATTGTCTGATTCCCCCGCAAAATACTGTCCGATTTTTCCAGCCAAATACTGTCCTGACGTATGTACGTGCGCCCTGCTCGCTCGATCGAGGGCGCCCGGACACAATTTGGCACCGGACACTATTTGGCATGTATTACGTGCCAAATAGTGTCTGGCGCCCACTGCGCATGCTCAGCGGACACTATTTGGCACCAGACGTTTTTTTGGCAGTACCCGAGTACCCGACCGTTGATGTCAAGAACTGTTCCAGATTATGGAATTGAGTACCCGCTGTAACCTACCCCTAGAACTATGGGTTTTACACGTAAGACCCATACATGTAGGTAGGCATTTCAACGCGAACATGCTGAATAATATACAATCAGCGACTAAAAAAAGTAGAGTTGAGCTTTGGAGTGGCTGCTGCATATTTTTACCCCAAGAGTTGAAGACTATGCCAAGTACTTCTTCACATACTCACATTCTGAACGTTAAAAAGATTAAGGGTTGAATCGATCCTGATGGTGCAAAAAAATGATGAAAACGGTCCCATTTCCTTACCGAGTTTGAGTTTTAACATTTTAACGTGCATGCGAAGCATTGTTGGCGTTATCAGAGTCTTTTGGTCTGGAAACCGACCACAGACACCGTCTTTATATCGAAAATCCCACACAAAGCCTCGAATTACAAAGAAGAAACGAAGGAAAGACTGTTGCAACCTGACGCCACTTAGCAGTGTGTACAAAGTTTATGGAGAGTTAGTCCGAAAATTGTGGACTCTCAATTACTGTGTATGATGAGAGTCCCAATAGAGTAATAAAGAAAATAGACTGGCACCTCAAACAACCAGTCCAACAACTCTTCAGTACTGCATCAATCAACTGTCAGCTGACTGTGCCAAAGGAAATATCTTCGATGTCAGGTACTAGGCCACTATTTTTACACATTTCTCCATAGTCAGGCACCAGACTAATGACAATGAATGAAGAAGTCAGTCTTGTCAGACAGTTTGACCATTGATGGACATGTATAAAAATAAGTCTAGTCTCTAGCCGCATTTTGAAATCACTTGACTTCCCTCTCATGTGCAAGACACTGCCAAATATTGAAGAAAAGTCTCCTTTAAAAATTTAATTGAGTCTTCAAAACTTAGTTGGTGGAATACTGAGGACCTTTTCTTTGACCAATGAAAGTTTTGGAGAAATTTGCTGGCTAAAGAGTGAGTAAGTTGACCTGATCTTCTTTTGCATTGTTTTGAGCACTTAAGGTCTCAGTCTGATGGAGAGTCGATAAAATTTTCTAAATTGAAAAAATTTGGCAACCTGACGCCACTTTTGAAACAGAAAAAAAGACAATTTCTTTTTGGCTTGCCTTGTACCTCAGAGAGTGTACTTTCATGTGAGAACTGTAACTGATATGTTGACAAGGTCTTGAGATTTGAAGGTGAATATGTGGCCAACTTAGTGAATTTTTACATGTCACTGCGTGATAGCGCCCTCAACCGATGCGTGATAAAATGAAGGTGGAAACATGCGATGATAATCTAACAAAGTAAAAAGTAAAAAGCTGACATTGACTGTGCACATAATGGCAGTGGACTTGCACTAGACCAATTTATAAGAATGTAGTTTTCTGATGGTAGTTCTGTACAAAGCAAAGTGTATGGGGAGTTGTGTGAAATTTTCCGAGTGTTTGTAACAAAATTGGTATTTTTCTCCGTCCCCATTTGTTGCCTGTTCTCTTTGGCAGTGTTTATTTGACTGTGAACCCTTCCCCGATTGTTTTCGCTGTTGTACCGACACTGCTCTGAGCAAAATTGTGCTTAAAGATTGTGTTTTGCTAAATTTATTCTGTTCTGTAAATGCCTCATAACATCAATTCAGTATAATAATACAGTTGTCAAAGTTTTCCTTAACTTGACTTTTTACCAGAAACTTGAGCAACTAAACCAGTTTCCCGACTTCAACAATTATTTGATCTACGTGCTGACGAAATTAAAAACCGAAGGTAAGAGTGTAAATTGTTGAAGGTATCTGCTGCTATACATCAGATTCGACCCAGCCAGCCGACCCTGGCTTGCTCAGTGGTTGAGTGGTTACGACATCTGCACTAGTAAGCAGGAGGTCATGGGTTCGAGTCCCGCCGAGCAAGCTTGTGAACTTTTTTCCCATACCCTAACTCCCTAGAGGGTGTACAAAATCGTATTAAAATTGGAGGATTCAGGACTGTTACGGATCCCTAACCTCCCTCAATCTTCCAAAGTCCTCTGGGCGGTTTTGGAGGATTTTGTAGGATTGAGGCTGAATGCAACATACAATTGTGGAGGATTGTGGAGAATTGAGGGCACATGGACATTCAGTATGGGCTGATTTTGGAGGATTGAGGCTGAATGGTGTTTGAAGAAGACGAGGATTTTGGAGGAATGAGGCTGAAGGCATTTTGAGAAGCAGGGCTTTTAGAGGCTTTTAAAGGATTGAGGCAGTGGGTATCCTTCATTTGAACATAATCGTGCAAAATTTTGAGGATTGAGGAAGGTAACTGGCAAAAAGAGCGTTGGGGGTAAGGGTTTACAAAAAAAGGGTGGTGAACCCAAACACTTGGCACACACGTGTCTGTGATTACCAAAACTCGGCCGTCTTAGTCCTTTCTGGGACCCGAACGCGGCTAGGCCTGCTTAATTGGAATATCGCATGTCCCTAATTAATCACTGAAGCCCGTTTCCTTCGATGATGAATATCTAACCTTGAACGAGGATATCGGACCCACCCATCCACCCATCCCCCCCCAAAAAAAATCCCTACAGATTAGCCAGGACGATTAACATGTACATGTATTCACATAACTAGTCAGCTCTTTTTCATAGGAAATTAGAGCATTAACTAATTTTTCCCCAGGGGGGTGAGATTACTTTTGACCTAGAAAGATTTCATCTCCATAGACATCTTTCAGAAAGAACTTAAGATAAAGTATGATCCACTAAATTACAAATCTTGTATTAAAAGGGCAAGGCTGAGGTAAAACACGGTCATTGTTTAAAGGCAGGATTTATTCGCGTTTATCCCAAAAGTAACCTACCGAATTATTATCAAAAGCTTGCTCGGATTAAAGATCCTACTGGTAACGAACACCCCGTGAAATGATTCCGTCTGGTTTGCTGTCATTGAGAAGAAATCAAGACCTGTGGGTCGGTTCCAATGATCAGTCAATTGACTGATTTTTGGTAATAGAGAGTGCTATTGTCGAAATCGTGTTTCGTGATCAAAAGGTAGTGCATGGGATTTTCCCAGTTTTTCTATAAAAAAAAATAGTGTAATAGCCACTGAGTTATTCAACAGGTTTTGTTTTTGAATATTCTTCTTTGGATGTTTGAGTGGTGCTATTATTGGAAACGAACAAAATGCATGAAAAGCAAATGATCCTATATAAGTTAGGAAAATATGTTGCAACCTGACGCCCTTCAGCGGTTGTGTACAAGTCTATGGAGAGTCAAATTTTTTTAAAAAGTATTTCCTAACAAAATTGGAAATGTCTCTCAAACCCAGATTTATGTCTTATCATCATTTTTGCAATAACCGACCTTCAGTGAGATGATAATATGAAGAAAAAAGTGGCGTCAGGTTGCAACATTTTTTCCCGACTTTAAACTACATGTGCCTGGTATAGGGTTCAATTCAGTTCAAAATACAAGCCTCTTTCCCAGTACATTGAAGTGAAAAGTGATTTTTTTTACGTGAAATTTTTTTTTTTGGAGGGGGGAGGGGGTTGATGAGTTATTTTATCGATGTGAAAGTTAAATCTTTTGTAACTCCCCTCAAAACCTGACCCCCATGTCATGTAAGAGGTCATGTTATTCAGAACTTCAAAACATGACCTCATTACATAATGATGTTGTTGCAGATTCTCCCCTTGCGACTCCTGTCTTCGGGATTGGTCGAGGTCCAAAACGAGGTCCACTTTTTGTTTTGAAAAACAAGCCAGGTTCTTGGAGCATGGAAAGTACAGAAACCCAGGGGTGCAATGGGGTCGTTTTTCTGACACCGCTGCGTGATTTAGACTTCCCCCTGCTGAGTTTTCTTCTATGAAACTGGCCCAAATGGGATCAGGAAATGTACCCAAATTGAATTTCCAAGTCGGATTTCCCCGCAAATTCTCACGGGGGCAAGGAATCAAAATTGTGGGTCACTGCGCTATCCTGAAACCATATGTGTACACAGTGGCTTGCATAACCCTGTTTTTTTTTTTCTCACTGGAAAAATGAGAAATGAAGTTTGTCTGAAATCAGTGTTCAAATACACACGTATACATGCAGTTAGAAAGCTGAAACTCTCTGTACTTAAAGGCAGAAAGAAAAAATTGTGCGTTGACGGTAATCTAACCTACATGTACCTGGACTTTTTTTGCGGCGAAAGTGCCGACCTTCCAACTTTTTATTGCCACATTTAGACAAACATGTTACAAAAAATGTAGTTATTTGTAAATTATATAAAAGTCTTGCTACCAATACATGTATGTATGCAATTTTTGTTGTTAATTAAACAATTAAAAGTGCGAGCGCTTTTAACAATTTGCTTAATAACTCCTTGCATTATCTTGATGTTGGAAAATATATTTAAGAATTTTTTAATACGTTTCGATCAGCCAATCTATAAGGAACATGTGCACATGTACGAAGATCAAATCCCACTGATGGATGACAGAATAACCCTTGGAAACAGACACATTTTTATTTGTTACTTAAAAATAATATCTTAGATATTGGCAAGAAATCGGACAAATTCGGGAAAACCTCCAACATCTCCAGACACATGTACATGTACATGTACATGTACAATGTACAATTCTGCTATAAAGATGAACCAGACATTTACATGTACATGCATTGGATGATGGAATACATACCGGTACGTACACGTGTACATGTACGTTTTTATGCATGTGACGGTTTGTGACCCCCAATAAAATCAGAATATGATACGTGGACATGTGCACATGTGCACGTGAATATATGGCCCGGCCTGAACCTACATGTACATTTAACACTGTACAGTGCATACACATGTACATGTACCGGTACATGTATATGTGTATGTACATTGTACATGACATTCAATGTCCAAAAGTGCAAAGTGACATGTGCAGCCCGACCAGACAAACATGAGTGCATTGTGTCAACGGACTTGGACTGTGTTCCGCTCATTATCATAGGCTTCGGATGGGGCATTATGCAGACGCGCTTGAGTGGTAACCGTAGCAGGGTGCACATGTTGGATTGTCACAGCGCAGCATGAATAGATCAATAGACTACTGGGGTTACGGCTCTTGGCCGGTCCGCGTGTGTCTGGATGTGTACACACAGGCACCACATGGCACAGTTACAAGTCAAGATAATCATGGGTCAATGTATTGGATCCATAGATCGAATGTATTATAATTTCGAATTTTTTTTTATTGGAAATTAATTTTCTTTGTCTGACTGAGAAATTGACTGTGCAGTTTTTAACACAAGTTTTAAAAGAATTCTATCTGTGTGGTGTGCATTATGTATGCAAGGTCCAGTGGATAAATTTGCCATTCACATTGAATTTTCTTTAATTTTTCTTTGTAAGCGGTATAAATGTAGATACATGTACATTTATGTAAAGAAAATGTTTTCTAGTAGCTTTGAAGTTTTACATACATACATACAGAGCAAATATTTATCGTAAAAATTACATACTTGTGTATTGCATACAAGTGCAAATTATTGTCCAAATTATTAATTTTACTGGCTCAAAAAAATATGTACAAATTATTTATTGTCCAAAGTACTTGTTGTCCAAATTATTACTTCCACTTGCACAAATAAGTAATTGATGATTTCCAAATAAAAAAAAACCTTTCCAAAAAAAATAATAAAGATAATTAAAAGTAATGTCTTGTGGTTGAGTCCAACACAAGTCCAGTCACAAGTAAATCACTAGTCAGTTTAAAAGTCCAGTCACAAGTCAATTTACAACTCTGTCCCTTTCATTTCAATAGCCTATGACTTTTCCTTGGGACTAGATGACTTGTGATGGACTTGTAAAAATGTAGGGACTTGTGATGGACTCGGCAAAAACACTGACCAAAACTAAACGTATTCTTTCTTCTTTTTTTTGCCCCAAATTTTTTCCCACCCAAGATGAGCCCACCAGGTCCCTCAGCGGCCTCATCCTCAAGAACAACGTCAAGGCCCACTTCCACAACTTCCCCCCGAGCGTGGCCGAATTCATCAAGTCGGAGTGCCTGGAGAACGTCGGCGACCCCTCCCCTCTGATCCGGGCCACCATCGGTATTCTGATCACCACCATCGCCACCAAAGGGGAGCTGCAGAACTGGCCTGCTCTGCTGCCCTCGCTGTGTCAGCTGCTGGACTCTGGCGACTACAAAACATGTGAAGTAAGTTTCTGACTTTGCATCAGTCTCTGTTCTCCCCCCCCCCACCCCCGCCCCAAATCACCCTGCCCGTTACTCCCTCTTCCGTCTCAAGCCGACCAACACTGTCTGATTTTATCCTTGATTCATCTGAGAATAAATACAATATTTTACAATGTGCTAATGGTTTGGTTGCTAACCAACCTGTTTCATTCTGATTAACCTTAACCTTCCCAAATCCTCCAAAATCGTCTAAGTTGCAAAATAGAGGATTTGGCAGGATTGAGGCTATGGGGCAAAATGTGCAGCTGATTTTGGAGGATGCACTGTGTTATGGACTTGGGCCAGACCTTGTGTTGTTTATGCACAGCCGTGCATAAATTTAGGCCTAGGTTATACTTTAAATCCTCTGCCCTGCTCCAGGATGTCACTGGCTCTGCCTCAACGTATTGACAGTGATCGCTGGAGGATTTTGAAGGATTGAGGCAGTGGTCACCCCTCCAAGGACCACATTCAAGAAATAACGGATGACTTTTGAAAGATTGAGGCTGTATGCAATTTTTACACGGAGGCGGTTGAAGGATTTTGCAGGATTGAGGTGGCATCCTAAAAAAGAAAACCTTAAAAGTTAGGGTTAAATGTTCATTATTTACATATTTTGGAAACAATCCAAACTTTATTTTCTAAAATAACATGACGATCTTTGCAAATGTGCGGTCTTGTTGCTTTCACACAAAAATCAATTTTTGTTATTCATTTCATAATACAACACTTTGCATGTTGATCGATTTTTGTGTGGTACACATGTCCTACGGCGCAGTTGCTCATTGTATGGTTTAAAGTAATGTATGCATCAAAATATTTTGGCTGCACTTGGAATACAAGAATGAAAGAATGAAAATAAGGCACCAGAAACGCTTGGACAAAACAAACTTTGCACAGCCAGTTTTTGCACTATAACAGTACCGGTACGTGTACGCTAACAGTACAAAATTTGCAATTATACCTTTCTGGCATTTTGTTTGAACAAATATGAAAAACCGTCGGGAAATTCCGTTGGGGTTCAATTGTAATTTCAGCTGTGGCTGCATGCATGCATGAGTTGCAATGCATTTATTTGTTGGAGAGGAAAAAAAAATGCAATTTAGATATTCTTGTCGGACATTTGCGAGCTTCCTCTTGAAAGAGCCAACTCTTTCAAGTGGGCTGAGCTGCCATACCATCCATCAAAACTCTAGGACTCAATTACTTACACACGTAAGCCAGCGCGTTTTAAAGGGGAATATACATCATTTGCTTTTGCTGTAATTTTCAGAAATGGATGGAATTGGGGGGTTGGAAATATATAGCAAATATAGTTACACTGACTTTTTTGAGGTTTTGGGTTCGAAAATGCTATAAAAACCAAGAAAAACAATCATTTTCCTGTAGTCTGGTTCCCTGACTCCATATAAGAAGAAACAGAGTAGTTTACATACATTGGGGAATTGTAGGTCAGGGAACCAGTCTAGCTGGCTTGTACCCGTTCATAGGTGTTAATCGATTGCAAACAAGTGTGATGGTCAATTGGGGCCAGTATTTGAAAAAAAAAGCCAGTTTTTTCCAACGCTGGTCGGCCGACCAGCGTTGGAAATTGATACAAAAATACCACTTTTCCTGAAAATGACAGTATACCAGGTGCCATGATTTTACAGGATGTTTTACACAGTCATTCACTAACAGTCCAGCAAGGTTTTTTCAAAATGATTTGGTAGTTTTATTTTTTGATGTTTGCAAATGTTGTATTTTCCCTTTAATCATAATATCCAGTCCTGGAATGATTCCCTGGGTTTTTTCTTGAAGATGCTTGGGGCGAGAGCAAGGCACAGAGCCGCACTGAGCGGGCGGATATTATTATGCCAGTGTGCCGAGAGCCGGTGCCCCATATGATTGATATTTTGTATCGCTGCTTCAGAGCGGCGGAAAACACAATTATGATCAGGTGTCCACTTGTGGCATGGATCGACGGCGCCTTGTGAATGTAATCATGAATGTTTTTGGATGCATTTTTTTGGGTGTTTTTTGTGATTTTTTGTTTTGGGACATGTATACTTGTATAAGTATACTTGTACGTCCTTGTCTAAAGCAAGAACTGCATAAAAAGAAGTCTTCTTACATTTTATTCGTAGTCTGTTGATACTTTGTAAACATACAACAATAGCTTAACCCTAACCGCCCTAAATCCTCCAAAATCCTTTTTGCAAATTGGAGGAATTTGCAGGATTGAGGTTACATGCCAAAAGTGGGTTGCTGATTTCGGAGTACACACTGTGTCAAGGTCTTGGGCCGGACCTTGTGTTGTTTATGCTCAGCTGTGCATAAATTTAGTCCTTGATTATACTTGACATCCTCCGCACTGCTCCAGGATGTCACTGCCTCTGCCTCAGCCTATTGACAGTTATAGCCGGAGGATTTTGCAGGATTCAGGCAGTGGTCACCCCTCCATGGACCATATTCAAGAAATAACGGAGGAATTTGCAAGATTGAGGCTACATGCTATTTATCCATTAGGCCAATTGTAGGATTTTGCAGGATTGAGGCTACATCCTATCAAAAAGGCCTAGGGAGTTGTGATACTCCTGTTTGTTTGTTTGTTTGTCTGTCATTGTCCTAAGTTCGTACTTAATTGTCCGTCAGTCTGTAAGTGTCCAACGGGTCAGGGAACAAAAGCGATCGCTTCACCCTATCCCCGTGTTGTTATGTGGATTATGTATATATTTTCATTATGTTAATAACGGTGTTGTGTAAAATTACTTCGTATTATATTTTGTATGCTTAAATGTTAACATAACGATTTAATATTTCTAGTGACATAACAACGTTGAAATAAATGTTCAGCAATCAAAGTCTGCGTGTACTGGGGGGTATTTAGGATTGCCACAAGTTTTGACGATTGTTTTGATAGAAAATGTTTGTGATCGTCAGTGCTGTCATTAATATGTTAATGCACACAAAGTTGCGGAAAGAAAACAGACTTTTACAGAAAACAGATTTTACCCATGTACACATGTACCACTTTGTTCTGCAACAAGTAAATTAAATTAATTCATGGACAAAAGGCAAATTTTTTTTTCTGAAAAAAAGAAGTGAAATTTGAAATTTGACCAAGTATATTCAGTAAGAAAGTTGAGAAAAATTGCGGACATTTGTATTTCATTTGGAATCTTACCCATGTACCCCTTGGTCACAGCATACTATTAACCCTAACCTACCCAAATCCTCCACAATCCTCTTTGCAAAATGGAGGATTTTGCAGCTACATGTACGTGGCAAAAATGTATTCCCGATTTTGGAGAATGCACTGTGTCAAGGTCTTAGGTAGGACCATGTGTTGTTTGTGCTCGGCAGTGCACAAATTTAGGCCTGCATGTATCGGTATGTCACACTTGAAACCCTCCGCACTGCTCCAGGATGTCACTGGCTGTGTCTCAAGACATTGAGTGCCGGAGGATTTTGCAGGATGGAGGCAGTGGTCACCCTTCCAAGGATCACATTCAAGAAATAATGGAGGATTTTGCAGGATTGAGGCTGTATGCAATTTTTAAATGGAGGCAGTTGGAGGATTTTGCAGGATTGAGGTTGCATCCCAGCAAAAATGCCTAGGGAGTTAGGGTCAAATGGACAAAAACCATTTTTTTGCGAACAAAATAAAGGAATGCAAGTTTACAAATCTAAAAAAATATTAATAATAATAAAAACTATTCTATTAAAAAAAAGTAAATAAAATTCACACTAAATCTTGAACTACTGTATGCTTGTTGATGTCCTGAAGTGCTTTTTGCACAACAGAAATTCTATTCCTCCATTGATGATAATTGCATTATTAATCGCGCATAAAATATGATTGCATTTCCAGCTGACTTGTGTTGCACTTACTCATGCATAAATTCAAGGGTGCAGTAAGGACCCAATTACATGATGTGTAGAGCACTCGTAACTCAATGTATTCGTTGTAAACAATGCATGGTTCAAACTGTTTAGTCACGCTGTTTGAATTTGTGCACGCGGAATTTAAATCCCTCATTGTTATGCAATGTGCTTGGTCTGTAATTAAATTAAATTTAGGCCTCTTAAGTATCGTAGGGATCTTATAATGCAGGTAGTATTCTGAAACTATATCAGAATATTCAATTTTCTGTGAATTGATTTTTGTAACAAAGATGAACCAGCCTAACAAAGGCTTTTAGTGCTGAGCCATTGCGTTACAGTGGAAATCTTTTCTATTTTTCTATTTTTTGCTACAAAAAAGGAGTAATGAGTTCTAAGGCCAGCCAGAATATGCCAAATACTCAAACCAGATCATTAAGCGAATATTCAGATATCTTTTTGCCGGTTTGAATATTCAAAAAACAGATAAGCTACGTGTATGTGATGTTTATTGTCCGGTGCCATCTTTTTGTCAACTGTAAAAAAAATTTTGTCATCATGCAGTACCGCTAGGCTTACTGTCCGGAGTCCATCAAAATCCCCCAATCCGTTGAAATCCTTCAAAACAGGTGTGGATTTTGATGAATTCAGGTACGTTAGGGTTACAATGTAATCAAAAATTGAAGATTTCTGTACAACACGTCTGACATCCCTGTCACAGTGCCATGCGAAGGCAGAAACACTAATCTTAACATTTGAAAAAAATGCCCTACATTCTTTAAAGAGTGCCGCTGTGAAGTTGCGCCTTTTAAAACATTATTTAATTTTTACATGTACATGTACATGTACCTGTTAAATGTTAAAGGGAATGTACATCATTGGCTTTTGCTGTAATTTTCAGAAATGAACTATTGGGGGGGGGGGGGTTAGTATAATAGATCAAATATTGTTGCACTGACATGTTTGACGTTTTGTGTTCGAAAATGCTGGAAAAACCAAGAAAAACAAAAATATTCAAGTAGTCTGGTTCCCTGACTCCAGTAAAGATGAAATGGATGAAAAATACCGGAAACTTGTAAGGTAAGGGAACCAGTCTAGCTGGCCTGCACCCGTTCATGAACATGGAACCAATAGCTAGCAAAACAAAATTTAGACTAAAAAAAATGGTAAATTTGGAGCAGTAATTGAAAAATAGTTAGGTTTTTCCAACGGTGGTTGGCCGACCAGCGTTGGAAATGTATACAAATATACCATTTTCTTGAAAATGGCTTCACACCAGGTGCCATAATTTTACAGGATGCTTTAGACTGTCATTTACCAACATCCTAGTAAGGTATTTCGTAACAACTTGGTAGTTTTATTTTTCGATGTTTGCAAATGTTGTATTTTCCCTTTAACTCGGCGGATAATAAAATCAACCATAATGAGCGTGTGTAAACATTAATTAAAATTTGCGGATTCAGGACCATTACAGGTTACAAGGAAACAAATTAAAAAAAAGACTTTTCAGATAACCGCATTTTCATCTGTAATAAAAAAAAAAAGGCAAACAATATACCGGTATCTCCTTTGATGAAAATATTCAAAGTGCTTTGAACTCTCCAGCCGTATCCTGTCATGTGTGTCATGCGTTGAGTAGCGGATCTTATTTGATGGACAGGGCTTATTCTATCACAGGTGCAATTTTCTGCGTCTTGAACTCATTTAAATGTCACATCCATCCGCTGCACCTGTTTTTCATTATACAGGGTTCGTAGAATCTGTAATTACATCTATCATGTCTATGAGCATGTACCGTACATGTACGTACAGTGTGGTACGTACAAGCTTTTGTACAGTACCGGTACATGACATGTCAATGCATGTAGAGACATGTACTGTACATGTACACGTGTGCATTTTACAAAACTATGGCTCAGTTTGGTGAAGCTCATGCTTTGCTCATAGTTTTTCACAGGCCATATTTTGTTCACAATAGATCTGAAATTTGACGACACATTTCTGACTCCAAAATAAAAGCTTAGAAAAACATACACAGCTTTACAGTTGAACAGCATTGAAGATTTCAAAAGAAATATAAAATTGAAACGTAATGTATGCACAGGAAGCGGACAACGTGGTTGAATACACTGAACATACATTGTGCATGCATGCAAATGTGCGTGTCATACAGGCACATGTACATATGTACATGTGCAATACCAGTCTTAACTTGTTTGCAGTTTGTTTATATTGTACAAGCTGATTTACCCGATCATAGATCGGGTAGGGCGTATTTGTGTTGGGGTTGAAAGTGTGGGGAGTTAAATGTAAATGGGGGATTTAGTTGAGAAGACATGTAGCTATAGAAAAGCAATTTACGGTGACGCGATCTGAGGCACTTTCTGACCACGTAGGATAGTAAAACAAAAGATCATCTTTTCAACATCATTTTTTGAGTTTGGAGTCATTGAATCAGCTGTTCTGAGCAAAAGAATATTATAGTAGGCTACAATTTTTATTCAGGGAAGAAAAAGTGGGGGTAAGGAACCAAACGATATTGCCCGCTTTAAAATGTTGGGATGGGGGTCCCCCGTCCCCCACCGATTGACGCCGCGCCCATGATAATTATGTACCATGGCATGTATAACTGTCTGTAAATGTTCCCGTTGGTCTGTTAAATTGCATTTTGTGAGGCAGTCGCGTTTGTTAATGTGGGAAAACTGAGTTGAAAGACTTACCGTATAGTACACAGGCGAAGGCTGGTTGTACTGTTTTGACAATAAATCATAATGGAATAAAACGTGAAGGTGGCATTTGCAATAAAAATGTTGAGTGTGTTACCATAAAATTACATAGTCTGAATCATGGAGGAAGGTCATTATGAAGGTACAGTATTGGACTCTTCAACAAACGTGAACTTGAACTTCTTACAATTTGCGAGACCTGCGAGGAAAAAGTCGATTTAACTATTTTATTCAAGTTGGCATGGTTCAACCATAATACATGTATAAGCAAGGCCAAACAGCCAACAACCGCCAATATTATTATTTATGCACTCTTCGTTATTCCAACCCAACATAGTTCAAAGATCACAATATTTGAAGCAATGCATCGATCCCTCGTTGATTTACCCGATCATAGATCGGGTAGGGCGTAGAGTTGGGGATGAAAATGTGGGGAGATGAATGTAATTGGGGGATTTAGTTGAGAAGACATGCAGTTATAGAAAAGCAATTTCTGTGCAGTGGCGTCGCCAAGGGGGGGGGGGGGGGGGGGGGGCAGGGGGGGGGGGGCACGTGCCCCCCCCCCCTGGAAAACCTAGTGCCCCCGAGTGCCCCCCATCAAATGCTGGTGCCCCCCCTATCCTCTGCAAAATGCTGCGCGTTGTTAAAATCATTACCTCAAAAATAGCAATTTGTTGAGATATCTTCAGATCGAATTTAGCATCAAATGTGGCACCATTTTGCATCTAGCCCATCCTCCGTATGCGAAAATTTTCCAAAGGGGAGGGGGGCACCCCCTCCCCTTAGACCCCTCCCCCAGGACGGCGATCCGTACCCACCTAAGTGCCCCCCATCAAATGCTGGTGCCCCCCCCCCCCCAGTGCCCCCCAGACTGAAAAGTCTGGTGACGCCACTGTTTCTGTGGTGCGATCTGAGGCAATTTCTGACCACTAAAACAATTTTTTTTTTTAGCAAAAGATCATCTTTTAAACATCATTTTCGAGTTTGGTGTCATTGAATCAGCTATTCTGAGTAATAGAATCATTATACATGTAGTAGCTACAATTTTTATTCGGGGAAGAAAAGTGGGGGGGGGGGGGAGGGGACCAAAAAAGTCTCCACCGCTTTAAAATGGGGGGGGTGGAGGGGTTCCCCGTCCCCCACCGATTGACGCCCGTGATAATTATGTACCATGGCAACAGTCTGTAAATGTTCCCGTTGGTCTGTTAAATTGGCATTTTGTGAGGCAGTGGCATTTGTGAGAAAACGTACTTGAAAGGCTTGCCGTAGTACACAGGCGAAGGCTGATTAAGAAGGTCATAATTAAGTTTCAGTATATTGGACTCTTCAACAAACGTAAACTTGAACGTCTTACAATTTGCGAGACTGTCTGCGAGGAACTTGTCGAGTCAACTGTTATTCAACTTGGGTCAACCATCTATATAAGAGCAAATTTTACTCGGCCTCCGAGAAATGTTTGCTCCTGAAACGATCTCAGACCGCGGTCTTTCGCGACGCCAAAATCGCTCCACGTCCGTGGAAAAATGTGGAGGGTGTCTTCCGCCGGATCGGACACATTTTCGTTGATTTTTTTGTGTGACTGCGTTTTAGATCGCGATGTTTGAAGCAATGCATCGATCCTTCGTTGATCCCAGACAGGCCCCCGAAATAATAACGCAACACTGTGGCGGGCAGCGAACCCACAACGCTCAGCCTTGGTGGAAGCATGGAGCTGTATTAACACACGATGGAAGCAACAGAGCACTATACACGTCACTCACATGCTTGTGCTTCAAATAATGCAAATAGCGAGCACCGTAGACTCAACCTCGTTTCCAGGGTGTGGAGCAGGCTGCAGTACGCGTTGCCAGTGACGGTTTTACGCATAGCCGGGAAGTACCACGCAGTGTAGACTTTCGATTGGTCAGACCGAGCTAGGCATACTAATGTGTAGTCCTTCTGAATATTCGTTGCACTCGGCGCAGGGGCGGCAAGCGAAGCAAATGAAAGAATAGGGACACTTGGTGGCCACGCACCATGGACAAAAAATATTTTACCAAGGTCACCCAATACTAACGTTTGGTGAACGCTTTTGCAGAAGGGCCGAGTAGAACACGTAAACGAAACCCCTACGTTGACCTCGCTGACCTCGCACAGTCTAGACACGCAGAAAAGCCAGCACGGGGGGCGACCAGGCAGTCAACGTGAAAGCGCACACGACGGCAAATTCCTGTGCAAAATCCAGTCACGAAAAATCGACGAAACGGATCGCCGGTCCGTACGGGAAAATTAGGACGACCCGAAGCGTCCGACCCGGCGGAAGACACCCTTCGCATTTTTCCACGGACGTGGAGCGATTTTGGGGCCGCGGGAGCCCGCGGTCTCGGATCCTTTCAGGAGCAAACATCGTCTCGGGGGCGAGTAAACTTCTCTCTTATATATATAGATTGCGATGCCATTTTGGGGTCCTGCACTTATTTTGGATGATTGATCAGGGGTGATGTATGTATGTGTCATGGAATTTTCCTGATATCGGAAATTTGAAACAATCCCTTGTGAAATCTGGAATTCCCGAGGTTCTACCGTAAATTTGTTTTTCCTACGAAAGTTGATTGAACAAAAGAAATGGGTATTGTAAAGGGTTCCTTTGGGCGAATACAAACCATATACCACGGACGCTACATTGCTCTGGGGCCCTTGGCGACCCTCAAACCCTCTGCCGGTTAATTTGTGGGTTTTTCTTTTCCCCTTTATCTTAACCCCTGGTTAATGGGTTAACCCTAACCCTCGTCAATCCTCCAAAATCCTCCGGGCAGTATTGGAGGATTTTGGAGGATTGAGGATCGATGCAACATGCAATTTTGGAGGATTGTGGAGGATTGAGGGCACTTGGAGTTGGACATTCAGTATGGGCTGATTTTGGAGGATTGAGGATGAATGGTGTTTGAAGAAGAGGATTTTGGAGGATTGAGGATGAATGCATTTTGAGTGGCAGGGCTGTCGGAGGATTGTGAAGGATTGAAGCGCTGGGTATCCTTCATTTGAACATAAGTGCAAAATTTTGGAGGATTTTGGAGGATTGAGGATGGTTCCTAGCAAAAAGGGCCTAGGGGTTAGGGATAATGCTGATGATTACAATGTTTTGTTTCTATGATTGTTTGCCTCTTCAGGGAGCCTTTGGCGCACTGCAGAAGATCTGCGAGGATTCAACCGAGATTCTGGACAGCGATGCCCTGGATCGGCCCCTCAACACCCTCATCCCGAAATTCCTGCAGTTCTTCAAACATGCTAATGCCAAAATCAGGTAAAAGTCAGAAAGTCAGAAACCCACAGTTAGTTCCATTGTGTGCTGAAAGTTTGTAACAATTTATTGATGAATAAACGAATGAAAAACCTGTGTTCCTGTTCACACATTCCTAATGAGTTCCTACAGAAATATAAAAAACCCGTGAGAGGCAGGTATGCATTGATTACATTAAAAAAAATAGCAAATATTAGGCCAAAAAAAAAAAATATTCGGTCTCTGGTCAGACCAAAGTTCCAGAATTGACGCGGCCACGCGGCTTTTTTTTTTTTTGGTTGCTTTTTTTTTTTGTCTTCAAGCTTGGATTGTACAGACAAGGTGGGGTACTATTTTGCTTTTTTGGTGTCCTCATGTACATTGGTGTCCTCCATAATTTGCCTTGGTGCTTTCGATCATTTGCCTTGGTGCAATTTCCCATTCCTTGGTGCTCTTTGGTAAAAAAAAATTGAGGAGGTGCGGAAATACAGGGCGCTGTTGGAGCTACCGCGGAACATTTTGGAAAAAAAAAGATCGACGCGCATGATTAAAATCGACGCGCGCGCTGACCAGAGACCGACTTATTTTTTTTTTGCCTTATAGGAAGTGCATGTTGTTAAATAGGGCGAAACTGCTTACAGAAAGTGCTCAGACAAAATCAGCAAGCAAAATCACTTTCGATTTGTCATGCAACTGTTAAATTAGTTTTGCTGTAAAATGTAAATGCATACAGTTACATGTAATAGCACAACATTTGGAAACTATTCAAAGGCGCCGGTCTAGATGCGAAGAAAAAACCTCCGTTGTTGGAAAAGGCCAAATTTGGACAAATTTGGTAAACTGCGAGAATTTTCTGATATCTGACTGTATATTCACCCTTTGTGGACATTGTGTAAATGCAACAAAATGCATTGTAATAAGTATGCATAGTTGAACAGGACATTCCATGCGTGTCTTTGTAACGGCGGCCTCAGATCCGGCGAAAGTGTTTGCATTCACACGTCGGTTTGACACGTTCTGTCTCGAATTCCCACTTCACAGGGTCACTCGCGCAAACGTAAATATCATAGTTCTCACCCTCGTTAGTTAACCAGCACATTGAAGAATTTTTAATGCTGCTTTTTAATCCTCGGTTGTGGTCCATCTAATAATTAACATTGTTTGCTTATAAAAAAGGCCTGCAAGAATGGTTCGTATTAGGCAGGAGATATGGTAATGAGTCAGTACATGTGATGCAGATCTAAAAAGAAATTCTTGCCCCTGTAACATCTGACATCTATGATTTTATAATTCTGATGCACCCCTTAATTGCAGTTGTCCTCTGAGAGTGATTATGAATAGCAAACTACCAACCCAGTACCCAGCAAAAAGTTATTCTTAATGATAATTGGATGGCAAATTACAAAGTACCAAGGTAACAGGTTCAGGAAAAAGTCAGACATTTCACCCTAAATTTATAGAATGACCCATTTCATAATTTTTTTTGAAAATTGTTAATATTTACTTGAATCGTGTTTAACAATTAAAAATATAAAGTTTTGCTTTTATTTTCACTTTGTTTTATTTAAAATGTCTGTTATCGTTGCTTATAAAACAATTAGGTTTTAAATAAAAAAAAAACCTATTTCATAGAATGGTAACACTTGGCAAATTTAAAGGTAATATACAACATTTGCAAACATCAAAAAACAAAACTACCAAATTATTATGAAATACCTTACTTGGCTGTAAGTGAATAATAGTCTCAAGCATCCTGTGAAATCATGGCACCTGGTGTGCTGTCATATAAAAAAATGGGAAGTTTTGTATCAATTTCCAACAATGGTCAGCTGACCACCGTTTGAATGTTTTTTTTTCTCCAATACTGCCCCAAATTTACCAAATTTAGTTAGTCCACATTGTGTTTGCAATCAGTTACACATCAGTAAACAGGTGCAAACCAGCTAGTCTGGTTCCCTGATGTCTATAAATTGCTCCAGTTCATTAGAAGTAGCGTCATTTTTCCCTTGGTTTTACCAGCATTTATCAAAAGTTGCTGAAGCATGTTTTGAGTTGGGCCTGAATAGGGCGTCCGTCACATTTTCTCACTGAGCCGATTGCAGCTACGCGATGTCGCGCACTGATCCGACAAATTATACAACGGCGCGTGCATGTGTGTCGTGCCAACGCTTGCGCTTTCTTAACCGAACAAAAAACCCCCGAACGAACGGAAATTTCCAACGTTGCGTCTTAAGACGCACTGTTCTTTCGTCGATTTCTTCCAAATGACAGCTTGCAAGAAAGAACAATTTCACAGGGAGTTTATTCCCCTTTCTATCTTTCAACCAAGTATGTTTTTCAACAATAATTACGTCAGTTACTTTTTGGATAGCTGCATATGATGGACTGTAGCTTCAAAGTAATAGCAGCTGTTTCCCATTCATGACCGAGAAATAGGTTGATTGTATCCTGGGGGCTAATGTGTCTGCTTTATTTCCCCCTTTGTGTAAATGTAGATCCCACGCTATCGCATGCGTCAACCAGTTCATCATCAGCAAGACCCAGGCTCTCATGTTACACATTGATCCCTTCGTTGAGGTGAGTCAGTTTGCGAAACCGTGGCTTGGGCATCAGCTATGGCTCAAAAGATTATTTGACCCCTGACGTTTTGGGCTAAATATAGTTGCATGTTCTGCTTCAGCAGCCGATTTCACAAAACAGGGCATAACTTACGCCATGCGCAGGACTTTCGCAAAAAAATTGTTGCGCAGCTGCGCAATAAGCGTACGATCTATTTCATGAAACTCAGCATAGCTGCGCAACGTTTTAATTGATCTAAACATCTTGGCCGAGGATGATAGCAGCATTACGATAATTGTTTGTGTATGATTATATTCGGTCTTGAAACAGTCATTGAATAAACTTCCGCCCACCATTTAAAAAAATACTTTTCCCAATTTCTAAGAGTCATGCGGCAACTCTAAAAATCGATTATATTAGAAATTCATTTACCTCAAACACAAGGGTGTGAGTGTCTTTTATCAACCTTGGTGAGCTGTGCAATGGCAGGCTCCACGACGATAACAAGTTGCTAGTAAAATCGTTCATTTTCAGAGTTGCTACGCCACAACTTACGCCACTTGAAATGTTTGCGCTAGTTAACGCCATAATTTGTTTTGCAAGTCGCGGACTTAACGCACTTTGAAGCTTTCGTGAAATCGTCAAAAATGGAATGTTGCGCAGCGTGGAATGTTGCGCAACTTATGCAATAAATTATGGTGCAAGTGGAGTTAAGTCCATCTCAAGTCCCTGCAAGTCCCTCACAAGTCCATCTCAAGTCCCTGCAAGTCCATCTCAAGTCCCTGCAAGTCCATCTCAAGTCCCTCACAAGTCCATCTCAAGTCCCTGCAAGTCCATCACAAGTCCCTCACAAGTCCTTCAGTCTCAAGTCAAGTCACTAGCTATTCAAAAGCACTATTGCAACAGCATTCCTTTGTCATTGTTCATCCCTTTACTTGTGATTTGATGTATGAAAGGTCTTGTGACTGTGATTGGGAAAGGACTTGTGTTGGACTGGACAGCAACACTGATATTACAAACATATACCATTGACCCTACATGGGCCTTATTCACGATTCGGCCATATTGGATTAAGAGTGAGGTAAAATCTTGATTTTTGGAAGTTGTGTACAGAAATGAAGGTTAATTACTAATTAATTCCAGTCTGCTTCAATGAATTATTTCACATTTTTAACTAAAACGTTCCCTTATGTTTAAAGCCAGATAGAAAAAAGACAGTAAAATAAGGCTACATTGTGCCTACATAAATGGTCTGGCGCCATCCCATTCAACAGTTGACAATAAATGAAATGCATTCAGGAAACTCGACAAAAATGGTCAATTCGTGAATAAGGCCCATTGCCCTGGGGCCCTTTAGCAACCCTCAAAACAATTATTTTCAGGGATTTTTTTTCATTTTCTCCCAACTTCACCCCTGAGTCAATGTGTCCATGGATTTTAATCACATTCTGTACCAAACACATTGATTTCCTCACCCCCCATAACAAACAACACAATGACAAAGAACCCTGACTCGGTCAGCAGTGTGTTGAATAATTCCCCCGAATACATCAGAATATTTTAACACCTGTGGTAATGCCTTTGTTTTTTTGTTTTCCCCGTTTTTTTTTACCGAGCATTCGCTGCGCCGTTCCTGATTAGCATTATATTCAGCGTGGAACTGATATGTGCCTTTCACACGATCTACTATCGGGTTCTGTCCCTCATACATTATTGATTGATGTTAACATTCGTTGGATGAATTATTTTTTGTTGATCATTGCTGACAAACATATTATGTGTATATGTGGAAAGTTCAGTGCCTCAATATGAAACAAAGTAGAAACTACAAAACAAACAAGAAAAACTAGAGGTGGTGGTTGTGAACAACCACAGAGCTGTTCCCAGTCATGCCAGTTTTGATTCTCTGTTAGACCGTAAACAAAATGATTTAGGACTAATGATTAAAACAAAAAAAATGAAACTAAAAAAAAAATGAAATTATTACTTTTAAAACTTGCACTTTCAGTACAACCAGAAGTTAAGGGTCAAATGATCAATTGAAATTGGGAACAGCTAAAAAAAATGAAAAAAAAAATCTTTAACGAAAACAATAGCTGTTCCCAATTGAAATTGGGAACAGCTAATGAAAAAGTAAAGAAGACAAAGTTATGAAATTTTTTTTTCTCAATTAGTCAGGTTTCCTTGACTGAAAAGTTACAAAGATGAGCACTAGCATGTTGACCACAGTTTCTTGTTTGTGCTTCAACTCATTTTTTTTTTAAATGGTAGTCATTTTGCTTTGGAAGACGATTTTCTTTCTTTCTTTTTTGTTGTTGTGAAAATGGTTTTCCAGCACACAATTATACATACAGCAAAAGATAGCAACAAAAACTGATGTTTAAACTTTTCATTTTCCCCCTAATTTCCCGTAGAACTTGTTTGCTCTGTCGCACGATGAAGATCCTGAGGTGCGTAAGAATGTCTGTCAGGCTCTGGTCATGCTGCTGGAGGTGCGGATAGACAAACTGCTGCCACATATGGCCAACATCATCGAGGTAAACTTGTTAGAAATCAGTTTTTTTTTAATATGCTTCTGTCTTTCCCAGGTTTATTGTGTCCTGTTTAGACTTATTGGCTTGAACATCATTGAGGCAAATAATTCTATACTCATAAAAATTGATTTTAGGTTTCCAAATTTGGTTACATCACCCCCACCCAAATTCCATCTTCTGAACAATTTGAAGTCTCACAGAGCTTGCATCGAACTTTTTAAGATCCAACTTATATTTGTTCATTGGCAAGCCGCGAAGCAGATGCAAGCCTATGTAATACCAATTTCCTTCTGGGCAGGCATCCGCATTCAGATAACAATGTTAACGTTTAAATTGCTTCTAGCTAATTTAGATATAAAAAGGCAGTTTATCAGCTCTACAGCTTCAAATTACATGAAGGTTCATTGCATTGCAGTGAATTTTCTGATTTTATTGAGGAATTTTAGTCTTTTTTTTTTTCACTGTTGGGGGTTTTACTTATGCACAGCGTTCATTATTAAAAGTGCGCATTCAGCATTTTTTTGTTTCCAGCAATGTGTAGCAGGAGTTGACCGTAAGGTTCTTGTTTGCATTTTTCTGCACGTCTCACAGTACATCTTACTGAGGACCCAAGATCGCGACGAGACGGTGGCACTAGAGGCTTGCGAGTTCTGGCTGACGTTAGCTGAACAGCCCATCTGCAGGGATGTCTTAGCCGTACACTTGGACAGGTAACATAATGCCCTTAAACCTCCTGCTGTCTGAACAGTCACAGACAATCAAAAACTCAATCCTGTTCCCCTGCCATACCTTTATTACACAGGCTAGTCACTAATACTCGGATCACATTTTTTGTAAACAACGACCTGTCAATTCCATCAACAGACAAAAGCAGGTAACTGGTAGACCCAACTGGCTTATCAATCACCTACAGTCAAAGCATAGCTGCATCAAGTTACAGTAACGGTCACAGCCAGTCAATCTTGCTTTTTGTACGCAGGCATCACTCAAATGTCAAAAACAGTCGTTTGGTTGATTTTGATGACTGGGATGGTTACGTTGAATTTGCCAGCCAGAGAAGGAGGGTGATTGCCTTGACTTGAGGAATATTTGAAAGCTGATCAAATTTTCGAATATTTTGTGTATTCGGCACATACCTATTATTTGTTGGAGACTGAGAGGTCAGATTTGCATTTTATGTAGTTAAACCTATCGCAATCTTGTCAATGTCTTCTCACAGGCTTGTCCCCGTCTTGGTGCGCGGGATGAAGTACTCGGAGATTGACATCATCCTCCTGAAGGGCGACGTGGAAGAAGACGAGATGATACCAGACAACGAACAAGACATCAAGCCGCGATTCCACAAGTCCAAGACGCATGCGCAGCAACACTCGGTGGAGGAAGATGAGGAAGGGGTGGATGTGAGTACGAGGGACAAGATTGTCAGAAAGGATAAGGGGAGGGGCTTAGAGTAGGAGGAGCTTAGAGTAGGAGGAGCTTAGAGTGGAAGGAGCTTAGAGTGGAAGGAGCTTAGAGTGGAAGGAGCTTAGAGTGGAAGGAGCTTAGAGTGGAAGGAGCTTAGAGTGGAAGGAGCTTAGAGTGGAAGGAGCTTAGAGTGGAAGGAGCTTAGAGTGGAAGGAGCTTAGAGTGGAAGGAGCTTAGAGTGGAAGGAGCTTAGAGTGGAAGGAGCTTAGAGTGGAAGGAGCTTAGAGTGGAAGGAGCTTAGAGTGGAAGGAGCTTAGAGTGGAAGGAGCTTAGAGTGGAAGGAGCTTAGAGTGGAAGGAGCTTAGAGTGGAAGGAGCTTAGAGTGGAAGGAGCTTAGAGTGGAAGGAGCTTAGAGTGGAAGGAGCTTAGAGTGGAAGGAGCTTAGAGTGGAAGGAGCTTAGAGTGGAAGGAGCTTAGAGTGGAAGGAGCTTAGAGTGGAAGGAGCTTAGAGTGGAAGGAGCTTAGAGTGGAAGGAGCTTAGAGTGGAAGGAGCTCAGTGTGGGAACTTTGGAATGGGAGGGGCTTGGCGGGGGAGGGTTATCAAACCAAGATACCACAAAACCAAGATGTGTGTGCAGCTACACTCGCTTGAGGAAGATGAAGGGGCGGATGCGAGTCTTATTGTGGCCAGGGAGGGGGTACGGGGAGGGACATAGAGTTGGAAGAGTTTGAGTGGGATGGGTTTTGAGTGGGAAGGGCTTTGAGTGGGATTGGATTGTACCAGGATGGGCGTGGACAGGAAGCGGGTTGAGGGGGAGGGGCGTTGAGGGGAAGGGGCTTGGAGAGGGAAGGGCATCAAGTGGGATGACCTTGGAAGGTGATGGGCTTGGAGGGGCTTGGAAAGAGAGGGGCTTGGAAATGGAGGGGCCTAGAGAGGGAGGGGCTTGGAGAGGGATAGGTTTAGAGAGCGATAGGTTTAGAGGAAGAAAATGTGCATTTTTGAGTCTTCTGAATAATCTTAGCAAACTGCTTTTTCTTGCTAGGATGATGGTTCTGACTATGGCATGGATGACGATGACGCTCTGTCAGATTGGAACTTACGTAAGTCTTACATAATGCATTGCGAGGGGAACTTATTTTAGATACAGGATTATACACCATCAAAAAGGGCAGTCGCTCATCGTTCGCTTGGCATGAAGCTAGATCCACCATTAGTGATTAATAACTCAATGGCTACAACTATACATCCTATCTCCAATGTGTGAGTTACGTGTATTTATGTTGTTTTTATTTCCCAGGGAAATGTTCAGCTGCTGCTCTGGATGTCCTAGCCAACGTATTCCGAGACGACTTGATGCCGTTCCTCCTACCCATCCTGAAGGAGACCCTGTTCCATCCAGAGTGGGAAGTCAAGGAGTCGGGAATCCTGGTCCTGGGTGCAATTGCTGAAGGTGAGAATAGTGCCCACAGGCACCAAGCGTTGCCCGGAAGCACCTTGTAGAATAACGTTCATAGTGCCCACAGGCACCCAGCGTTGCCCGGAAGCACCTTGAATAATAATGTTCATAGTCTCCACAGGCACCCAGCGTCGCCTGGAAGCATCTTTTACAAAAACATTCATATAGCCCACAGGCACCCAACATCGCCCGGAAGCACCTTGTAAAATAACATTCATAGTCTCCACAGGCACCCAGCGTCGCCTGGAAGCATCTTTTACAAAAACATTCATATAGCCCACAGGCACCCAGCATCGCCCGGAAGCACCTTGTAAAATAACATTCATAGAGCCCACAGGCACCCAGCGTCATCTGGAAGCACCTGGTACAATAACATTCATAGTGCCCACAGGCACCCAATGTCTCCTGGAAGCACCTTGATTAATAACATTCATAGTAACAAGAAAAGGCTCTGGATGTATCCAGTGTCGCCCAAAAGCATCTTGTTCAATTATGTTCATGTAGCCCACAGGCACCCAGCATCGCTCGAAAGCACCTTGTAAAATAACATTCATAGAGCCCACAGGCACCCAGCGGTGCCTGGAAGCACCTGGTGCGATAATGTTCATAGTGCCCACAGGCACCCAGCGTCGCCCAGAAGCACCTTGTGCAATAACATTCATAGTGCCCACAGTTACCAAGCGTCGCCCAGAAGCACCTTGTACAATAACATTCAAAGTAACAAAAAAAGGCTCTGGATGCAAACAATTGTAAGTGGGTTAAATTTGCATCTCTTTGACAAAGTTCATGAAAAAAAAAATCTCAGGAATTGGTCGCGAGGATGTCACCAAATATTTGTCTAATTGTGTACATTTGAAATGTTACCCCTTACTGGTGTAGGATGTGCCAATGGGATGGTGGCTCACCTGCCGGAACTCATCCCCTACCTGGTCAACTGTCTGTCGGACAAGAAGGCCTTGGTCCGCTCCATCACCTGCTGGACGCTCAGCCGTTACTCCCACTGGATTGTCAATCAGCCCCACGAGATGTACCTGCAGCGGCTTATGTCAGAGGTACGCTATGGCTGTTCTAATACCAGGGGAGGGTTAGGATTGGATTTGTTACGTCGACAATTTCTGATAATGAGTACAGAAGATGCCTAAATAAATTCATGCCAAAATTAGTTCCTTAACTAATTAGTCCTTGTATCGCCCCAAGTCTTACTCTGTGGATGTGACTCCTGGGTAAACTCTCGCAACAAGGAGAGTGCAGTTGATTCATTTGCCACGTCATGCTACAGAGTCATGCTGAACATCAGGCGAAATGATCGCATCCCAAACAGAGGGAAGATTGTGGTCACCTGCTCCGCAGCCGAATGATGGTGATGATGATGATCGCCCCAAGGCGCCCAGCAAGTCGCTGTTTATACTGCCCCAAACCGCCATGTTACTTGATGTACTGCCCCAAAAATGCCCCAGTACTCTAGATCCGCCTGAACGCAGAGATCTTTACTTATCTTGTGGACTTTTGTTGTTTTGCAGCTGCTGAAGAGAATCTTAGACACCAACAAGCGGGTCCAGGAGGCGGCATGCAGCGCCTTTGCCACCTTGGAGGAAGAAGCTTGCACGGAGCTAGTCCCATACCTGGGCTTCATCCTGCAGACATTGGTCTTTGCCTTCAGCAAGTACCAGCACAAGAACCTGCTCATCTTGTACGATGCCATCGGCACGCTGGCCGACTCGGTCGGCCATCACCTCAACAAACCGGTGAGTAAAAGTTACAAAAAAAGTCAAGTCTGTTTCAAGCCAATAAGGTTTTGGTTTCCTTGGCATGACATGAACTAAAAATATTTCTATTCCCCCTGGATGGGATGCTAGTCCATCGCAGGTTACTCCCAAGCTAATGCCCGTACCCATTTATATTCCTGGGTGGAGAGAGGCAAACTGGGGGTGAAGTGACTTGCCCAAGAATACAGCATGTGGCCAGCAGCTGGATTCGAACCCCTGACCCTCTGATCATGAGTTACAAGCTCTCTGCACCAGGCCTCATTTTAGTAATCAATTATTTAGAGAAGTCGGAAGCAAATATTTTCTCTGCTTTAGTAAAAAAAAATTGGCTTAGAATTTTGGCCCCTGAACTTGCTAATCGAGCTCTTAATTCTTTTTTGCAGGAGTACATCAACATGTTGATGCCGCCGCTCCTAGAGAAGTGGAACTCACTGAAGGACGAAGACAAGGACCTGTTCCCTCTGTTGGAGTGTTTGTCGTCAGTAGCCACGGCGTTACAATCAGGATTCCTGCCCTACAGTGAGCCAGTCTACCAACGATGTGTGTCCCTCACGGAAAAGACACTGGCACAGATTGCTGTTAGTTTAAAACCTTGTGTTCTTAGAAGCAAGTTTCAGTACAAAAACCTGCAGAATTTTCTTTTTGCTAAAGCCAATTACTCATTGTTTCGGTTGGGTAAAACTTCAAAACTTTGGGTAAACACAAAATATTACAAAATTACGTCTAATGGAGACAGAAGGAAATTAGAGTTGCTGTTAAAGTTACTGTGGTCATGATGTGAAATCAACTGGCCAAAAAGCGGCTAGGGAAGATTTTTCTGCAATTGTGGTTTATAGAGACTCTGATTCACTTTAGCTTCATAGCTACATGCAGTACAACTGACGCTACCAATGCTGAAGAATGACATGAAAAACAATTTTTTATTTGCACATCTGCCCACATAGAAAAATAAAGAAAAAGCCATTTATACCAAATTACAAAAGTAGCAAGGTATAAACGGATAGGGCAAATCACTTTGGACCCGAATTTGTTGAATGACCCAGATGCAAATTATCAACTGTGGAATTCTTATCCGTGTTTTTGTTTTGTTTTCCTTTGTTTCTACAGGCTTCTGATGCACGGCCCGATCAAGTGGAGCCGCCCGATAAAGACTTCATGATAGTAGCCCTGGATCTGCTCAGCGGCTTGGCCGAGGGATTGGAGGGCCACATCGAGAAATTTGTGGAGAGGAGTAACCTTCTCAGCCTGCTCTTTCAGTGCATGCAGGTACGTGACCCTCCAAGAGTAAAGGGTTCATGTCTGTCTGTTTGCAGACAGTAGATGACGCTTTGCTACCCCTCATGATATCTCCAGTGTGGGGCCTTATTCACAAGAAAGCCATTTTGACTGTGTTCCCTGAAATTTATTTACACACGTATATACGCGATTTTGTTGCGCGATATTGTCGCGCGCACAAATCAATGAGCGCCTTTACATTTACGCGACTTGTCGCGCGATTTTCTGAAATCAAATTTGTTCACAAACGCGCGACATAGTCGTTGCGACAAAAACACGTATGTGTAAATAGGCCTTGTAAACTGTTCAATGGGATGGTGCCAGACTATTTTTGCATTCCAAGCCTCACTTCAAATTTTTTTTCTCAAATGTGGCTTAAACATTAGGGTGTGTTTAGTCACAAATGTTAAATTGTTCATCAGAGCACACTGGTATTAATGTGCAATTAACTTTATTTCATTCCTTTCATTTCTATTCGCAAGTTCCAAAAATGAAAGATTTTAACCTTGGTCTTTGTTGCCATTGAGTGATTTTCCTTATGTTTCTCCCTCACTCTTGTCAGGATAAGATGCCGGAGGTTCGCCAGAGTTCTTTCGCCCTCTTGGGAGACCTCACCAAGGCCTGCTTCAAGCACGTCAAACCTTGTATAGGTGAGACAACCGTGATTGAATAAATACATCCATTAAAGGGAACATGCAATAAAATTTTGATTGCATTTTTTTTGCTTAAATCAATAAAGGATGATGTTCTTAACAATATTTTGTGTATGGTGGTGTTTATTTTCTAAGATAAATGGGGGAAAATAATTTGTGAACATGTTTGGTCAAACTACTCCGCCCCACAAAGGGAAGCTTCATTAACATAAAACTTCGCGAGGGGTATGACGCAAGCGAAGGCAGAGACTTGCCGCGCTGCGGGGGCACCGGCATGGCGGCGTGCATCATAATACATGTACATATACATTGCGGCACTGAAAGTTTTTCTGGTGTTTCGTTCGGAATCGAGGAGAAATAACACCCGATTTTCGGCCATGCCGGCAAGGTGTGTGGCTGCTGGGTGTAGCAAAACTACCAAGGATGGAGTAAGCCTTCATTTGTTTCCAGTAAATCCGAAATATCGGAGCATTTGGAGAGCCAAAGTGAAGGTAAATACCAGAGCAAAGTGGTCCGGGCCCAGTGAGTTCGCGGCCCTCTGCGCTGCACTTTGAGCCGTCGTGCTTTGATGCTGGTCTGTACAGCAACTTGGGCATGCCCCTAAAAAAACATCGAGTCAGTGTTTGAATCATTAGAACTCTGATTGGAATCGGACGAATCTGTACCATTTTCATCGGATTCGCTAAGGAAAGAAGAGGACGGTCTTCGGAACTTTTACGGTCATGACGGTCGTCGTTGTGTTCATTCGACAACGGTGGCACCGTGGCACGTCCACGTGTACTGTACATATCCCATGTACATGTAGACACATTCGTACGTGTGCATATAATGCCACGTACGGGTACGCGGCGGCTGCACATACACACAGCACAGTAGCTTCGCTAATCCGTCTCGTACCCAGACGTCATTTACGGGCCCTGGATTTCTCTGCCTTTGTTTATGTCATGAACAGCGCCCTCATTTGGAGTTGCCGCGAAAATCAAAAAGGGGGGGTTCAATTTTGGACGGCAAATTACCACACTAAACGTACACCAGAACCATTTCTGCTTTTAATTCACATTTAATACACATAAATGAATGTATATATAAAATAAAATACGTTATGAAAATTTTGGACTGCATGTTTCCTTTAAGTTGCTGATAAAAATGAAGATATTTAGTTCTCAAAAGAACTTGTCCTGCTCTAGTCATCGTCAGGATCAGAACAAAAAAACTACTTAGTGAAAGTTGATAATAAGCAGGACAACTTCTTTTCAGAACTAAATATCTTCTAAACAGTAGTTATTACCACATGGTGTTACCGCAAACCAAAATGATTTCGAAGCTCTACCATGCAAAGCCTCAAAACTTATATAAGATGATAATGAACTTATGGACTTATCTTAACCCAAAATCCCTCTTGCCAAATTGCATTTTGACATGTATGCTGGTTTACAATTTCTTTGCAGCTGATTTCCTGCCCGTCCTCGGTCAGAACCTGAACCCGGAATTCATCTCAGTGTGTAACAATGCCACGTGGGCCATCGGTGAAGTCTCCATACAGATGAGTAAGTCCACAGAAGATACTCATTCCTTATCAGTCAGTAGTCCCGGGCAGTGTGGTACTTCCCTCCTGTTGAGTGGACAAAATCATGTTCGTCGTTACATTCACGTCTTGACATTGTTCGTTTTTATGACGGTTTCTCAGACATATAAATTTGAATAAAATATTAAATTTTGTTTGTGTTGATTATCTTGTTATTAGGAGAGGAGATGGAGCCGTACATAACTCTGGTCCTGACCCAACTGACAGATATCATCAACCGACCAAATACCCCAAAGACACTCCTAGAAAACACAGGTGAGTTAATAGTGACTTAATGGATTAGTAACATGTATCAGTTTAAGGATATGATCATGGGTCCGTGTTGGCAAAAAACCCCCACAAACATAGAGCTGATCATTTCGCGCTCTTACACAAACACTTGGGGGTAATTCTGGTCATAGCAGAATTAGAAGTAAAACCAAAAGGAACATCATGTGTTCTTCCTGTTCATGTAGCCTCAAAGTCTAAAGATCTCTGTCTTGAAGCGGTTCAAGTATTGACGTTGGATACTAATCTTCTATCATGTTTTTACATCATGTCTTAGTCCATATACCGGGGGTACAAATAGAAATTTGCCTTTTTTTCTTTACAGTATTTGAGGTGTAAGCGTTTCGCATTTCATCACCCAAGCCTAAAAAATTACAGTTTATATTTTGAAAGCCAAGGATAATGTAGCACTTGGGAAAAAAAAAGTTGGCAAAAATCAAACAATTTCAAAGCAGATGTACTCGTATTTTTAATTCATTTTACCCCTCAAGCTCAAAATCTGTCCTTGGTGTGTTAACAAGAAAGAAAAAAAATTATTTCTTGCACTCGCCTGACAAACTTTTGTTTCTTCTCAAGTCTTTAAACAATAATTTATCCATCTATTGTATATTTGGGGATGTTTCAGGTTTTTTCTTCAATTGTTGTGCCTGGGCGAGGCACCCGTTTTATAGCATAACATGGCTCAATGCATGACGTACCCTATCCATATTTTTGTCAGTCGGAAGTGTATGTTTTTTTATCAGAATTTTTTCCGTTATGTTTTATGGTATTTCATGCATTTTGGTGATTGGAAAGTTAACGACAAAATCATTGTCGGTAGTTGAGACTTACTTAGCATGCTTGTCTTATCAGTCTGCTTTTCAGAGATGTTGTGGTGGTGTGTAAAAAAAAAATATTGATGTGACCATGTGACCATGAATTCTTAAAATGTATTTTTGCCAAAATTAATTTTCGGCATTGTTTTTGGAGGACTCACAAAGCTTTTCACAAAAGCAACAATTTTTTTATTTAAATTCTCAAGTGATTATAGCATGGTAAGAAGTGAACTTTTGGCTCATTTGTATTTTCATGTATGCCATATATTATTTCAGTCAATCTGATTCAGTGATGTTAAAAAAAAGACTGTTTGCCTTTTGGACCATGTACATCTTTTTCTCGGTTGTTCAGTCCAAATTTTGTTTAAGTTTGCTGGACTTGTTTTTTTAAAGGTATGTAGGAACATTTGCAATTACCAGGAATCGTACCTTCCGATTTAACAAGGAAAATAAATCCTTGCTCAGAGTGAAGATAGAACTGGTATTAAATACCCCGTGAAATTATTCTGCCTGAAATGGTATCATTCGCAAGAAAGCAATCATTAAAGATGGTTTAAAAACAACTCTGCCCACTGGCGTTAGCAACGGAATCCAGTTAAAAGATCCCAAACAATTGTGCATACATTTTCTCTATTTTCTCAAAATGTATAGAATCCACTGAGCTGAAACTTCAACAAGTTAGTTGTTATGCATATTTTGAGCAATTTTATTCAAGATTTTGAGCTTTTTTGTTGCTTCAAACAAAAAAGAAATACACAAAAAGCAAATGGTCCTACGTGTATTGCCTTCAACATGGAGAGATTTTGTACAGTTGTATGTGGAACATCCCTCCGACCAAAAAAAAAAAAAATCAGTTGTTTCTTGAGTTGAAATCGTTCTTTTTTTTTTCTCCGTTTTTTCTTTCTTTTTTTCTCTCCCTCTTACCTGCCTGCTTCACTCCTCATGTCATGTGACGTAAACGTTGACGTGTGATTGGTCTTCACTCTTGTTTGTAACCTGTAGCAATCACAATCGGTCGTCTGGGCCTGGTATGCCCGCGGGCCGTGGCCCCAATGCTTCCACAGTTTATACGACAGTGGTGTGTATTCCTTATTTTTTTTATGTTTTTCATTCGTACAAATTTATATTTTTTTTCCTATTCAGAAGACATTCAGAAGACAGTGATGTAGTGCTGCACTGTTCCTTTGTGCGACGCATTGTTTTTTTTTTTTATATGTAATCCAAGTTCGATAAAATGAGTCGAAAATAAGCCTGTAGTACAAATGTTTTACCATTGGGATCAAGTTGAGTCGTACATTTTCTATACTTTCGTCAAGATTTCAAACTGTGTGATGTTTCAAAGCGAAAAGGACAGTAAGCTCTTTGCAATGCGCATGAAGAATTGCTGCTGATTCCCAAAACAGTGCGTAGCTTACGCCATGCGTAGGATTTGTGCAATATGATTTCTTTTCATGAAACTTGGCGTAGCTACACAATGTTTTAAACAAATTTCAAACATCTTGGACAAGGACAACGACAGCTTTTACGAAGTCTGATTGTGTATGAATTCCCTTTGATCACAAAACAGTCGTTGAATTACTCCGCAGTCATTGCTGAAAATAAAATTATGTGCCCATTACGTCACTGTCAGCTGGAATGAATAAGCCTTGCTCCATTAGCTCAGTTTTTTTTCCATCATTTCCCAAGTTTTCTTAAACGAATGGGCATTTGGAGCAACATTTGAAAAGCCTCATAGTAAATTTCACGATGATTGGGTTTTGCCCTTCGCCGACATAATGTATAAGAAATATAAACGCAGTCCTCTTTTAGGGCTGGCTGGGAACGCAAAATAATCACAAGCTTGCTTTGGTGGGACTTGAACCTGTGACCTTCTGCTTAATAGTGCATACTTCTAAATGAACCACTGCCATGCATTCTGGATTGCCCAGCCAATTTAAATCCAACAGCGGCAACACAATCAAGTCCATCATTAGGCACTAGATATTCATTAACGCAACCCTGCAGTGTTCATTTCTTTCACAATTCTAGGGGGGGGGGGGGATTTCTTGTTTGTATTGCTGTAGTTGGCAAATTAAAGTTGTTCATTTTGACACGGAATCATGATGACATTGTCGGTCATTGTTCCCCTTATGTTGATCCGTGTGAGCATGCTTCCATAGTGTGTGTGTGTGTGTATGGAATGGGTGGAGTTTGAATGCGTGTGGGGTGGAGGTATCTTTGCTTTTTAGTGTTACTGATGGTGTAGAGCCGTAGATTAAATCCAGGCACCTGATCATTGTATGCACTCACGGAGGCCCCCTTTAATGGAGAAATTGTTGTGCACGGTGTTATACAACGCTGCCCCATGACGGATTATCTGAACAATAGCTAACACAATGCTTTTCGCCATTGACGGGGGCCTTCGCGATAGAATTGACTGCGTGCCCGGATTGGTCTATATTTTCACACTAGGTTTCTCTAATTGATCTGGGCTGATTTTAATTACCTCTAAACACAGATTTGCTAATCACAAAGAAATATTTGCTTAGCACCAAACAAAAAAAGAGAAACATACCAAGTAAACATAATCCTTTTGCACATTGAGAAATGTTTGTATAAGTTAACTTTAAATAAAAGTATATTGACACTTTCAAATACAGTGTTTTGTTTTTTTCCCTAAGATTTCAATGATTTGGGATTTTTTTACAGTGAGAAATGTTTTATAAGCTAATTTAAAAAAAAAAAATCGAAAATGCCAAATACTTTTTCCCCACAAAGTTTTCATGCCGTGAAACTTGAAATATAACCAATTCTTGAATTATACACTGAAATTCTTGTACATGTAATTCCTTTTGCTAAAAACATATTAAATCTGCATATTTCGTGCAAGATACTGACATTTGTTGCCCAAATCTAGAGTTTTTTCCCTACTTTGTTTTTTTTTTAACAGGTGTACCTCACTGAGGAACATCCGTGACAACGAGGAGAAGGAGTCAGCATTCCGAGGCATCTGTTCCATGATCACTGTCAACCCGGCGGGTGTGGTTCAGGTAGGGAGTTCTCTATTGGCAGAATAGACCATTCCTGATTTGGCCATGAGCCCCCCCCCTCCCCACCTTACAGTGACCAAGTTGAACGAGCAGCTGTGGTCACCTGATCAAAAGTTGTGATCTAATTGGTCAGTGTGCACTGTTCGATTGTTAGGCAGCAAGGGTCCGTACTTTTCTCCCGTGATCCATGGATCATAACTTTTCCCGACATCCAAAAATCGCCCAGCCTGTTTTATTGCGCCACTCAAAAGCAGTCAATATGTTTACTGTAAGGAGTGCACTTAAAAACACATTCATAAATACCTAAGACAGTTTACCCATTCCTATTGGTCGAGAGTCCGTCACATGGCGGGTTTTAAACGGTTGATAAAGACATGGCTGGCTGGTCTTAAACACTTTTCCAGTGTCACATGAAATTTGGACTCCTATAAAATCCGGTGACTTTTTTTTAAACTCTTGTGGACCGAAAAGTTGAGATATTTTTGACCGAAAAGGTTTTTATGAATGGGAATAAATATGTGCTTGGTCGGTATTGAACCCTCTGTTAAGACCAGTTGGAGTCGGGATGCTGATATTTACCCTCACTTTCGACTCGGGTAGTTATCAGCATCCAGATTCATACAGAGTCTTAAACAGAGTGTTTAATGCCTCCCAATCAAACATTTATTCCCTTAAAAAAGAATTCAACGTTAAGCACTTATCCTACAGACCTACTTGTACCCCTAAAAGTGGGTATAGATATTTGCAGTTTATCCTTTTTTTTTTCTTCTGGTTTTTTTTTTTTTAAATATTTTTACAATGTAAAGGGTTTTTAAAATGTAAATTTAATTATTTTTTTTAACAGGATTTTATCTTCTTTTGCGATGCCGTCGCGTCTTGGCAAAGTCCTAAACCAGACCTGAAACAGATGTTTTACACGGTGAGTGAGATTTATTTTAATTTATGTTGTTTTCAACTGAAAACAAAAAGATGAAATGTATCATTGCGTGACTTGCGTTTGAAGGTCTTTTCAAAATGTTCATTTTTTCCCCCTCAAAAAACTGTGTAGATCCTCCACAGCTTCAAGAACGAAGTTGGGAACGAAAACTGGAAGAGGTTCTCTGATCAGTTCCCGGCACCCTTGAGAGAGAGACTAGCACTCAATTACAATGTGTAATGTCCACGTGGTTGAAGGACACGTCTAGTCTTGGTTTCCAGCAGGTAAGTTTTAATTGCCGTTGAACTGGACCGTGATGAATTACTACAGATCATAAGATAGTTGTTATGCAGTAGTTTTTCGCTTGACAGAAGCAGGTTTCCAATCCAATTTCACGTGTTGAACATTGCTGTGCACAATTAAAAGCGCTGTAATAAGTTACACCCTTTGCCTAGGCCCAACTTTGGATAAGGCCCAAATAAGTATAAGTAAGAGCTACCAGCTTGCAAATTTTTAACATGGTTCAGTGTGTCATAACATGTAAAGATTGTCATGTACATTTTCTCCAAATCTTCACAATGACCAAAAAACAGACATTATCCACATTAAAATTTAGAAGCTGAGGTTCTAAAAAAATAAAAATATGAAATCCTTGAAGTGTTTTTAATTGTATCATTTTTGCTGTTTTACTTTTTTTTTATCCGAAGCTGACCTGTGAAAGAAATGAACTCTGTTATGAACCATCAGTCTGCTCCAGTCGAGAGCTTGATAAAAATGGGGGACCATGATCACATGCAACACCGAGGGGACAAAAGAACAACTAAAACAGCAATTGGCCGTGAGGTAAAAGGTCAAATGGGGTCAAAAGTTCGAGGGTTAGGGGTCAACTCAAGTGGAAGAGCCAATGTGAGGTTGTAGTCGATATTAAGTGATTAACTTTCGCTAATGCTTTCACTGTATGGCTTCGTATACTTGAGGGATATAAAATTTAAAGTTGGGAAAGGAAAGGATATATTTCGCTGCATTCATCAAGTCTTGTTGATTAAATACAATGCTGACTTACATGTGCACCGAATTTACTCCAAAGAAATATCGCCGCAATCTTGGGCGTTGTGGTCGAGGGTATTTTGTATAATTTCCGCAGCAGCATTTGGAACTTGCTTGAGTGTGTGATTCGCTATTGCACAGCTGTATCAATGTAAAGATTTTCGGGCTGGACAAAGTGGGATTCGGTGTTGTTAATGTCTTGTTTTTGGGGGAGCCGTCCAATATGGGAATACAGTGAGTGCGCAAACGGGAATGTTAGAAAAACTAAGATGCTTAATTTCCACGACTGACTGTACACAGTTAGCATTGGAGTTAAAGTTTTCCTGCCTTTTATTTGCTGTCAAATGGAGAATTCATTAAGGAATGTTTCGCTTTTGATTTGATATCAACAGATTTGTTCGCTCGGTCGAAAAAACAAACGTATTAGGACAGGATGACCAGCCATAAATGTAGTGTAATATTAATGGCTCACATGCTCCTGGCTGGCGCTTTGCTCAGTAATAAGAAAGCTGAGTAATAAGAAAGGGTAAAAAAAAAAAAAAAACCAGTAAATAGAAATCGTATACTTTTGCTGCTTTACAGCTTACATTTTGCAGTGTTCAAGCATTCCTGTTGAATGCTTTCCGCTTCTTGCATTGTTATCTGCGGTTTGAAACTCCCTGTTTACAACTGATCAGAATTTATTCAAAAAGCAGTTGTTACAAAGAACATAACATAATGGGACGTGGGTCATGTTGTCGGTTCAGCGATTTTTGTCTTTTAATCACCTAAAGTAAAAGGGCGGTTTTGAAAATGCTTGTCTTTTAAACAACTTGTGTCATCTACCTCTGTGAGCTTTTTTTTTCGTTCTGTTGTTAACTCTACAAAATGTCATTTGGGAATGTTTGTATTTTGAGTCGTAAAGTGACGAAGGGTTATATTATCATTTCTACAGCAGTAGTTTTGGCGTCTGACTAGATTTCATTGAACAGGCATGCAACTTTTCCTCGGATCTGCTGATTTCCTCGTTTTTTACTTCTCATGAATGCCGTTACTAATTAAAAAATACCGTACAAAGTCTTGTGTGTTTTGGAATTTCCTCGTTTTTTCTAAATTCCAAGTTGCATGCCTGTCTCAAGGTGTGGGTCGTATGCAAATGACCCCAGAGGTCATTTTGTAGGTCAACTGAGGTCAAATTCACAGAGCTGCTGAGCACTGAAACATGTTAAGCATGGAGAACAACTTGCGTAGCAAAAAGAAAACGGTTACCAGCCAAAAAGTCATGCGATTAATACTAGTTGTGACTGGTTCTCGGCCGATTTTTTTTGCTTCGCTTAAACGTTTGCTTAGAAAATGTTTTCTGCTTAGCGGGCTCCGTGAAATTTGGCCCAGATAAAAATTTTCCCCCCAAAATAGAATTTTTCAATGTTACGTCATCAAAACATTAATTGGGGACGAGTGGAGATTTCCAAATTGGTCACATCGATATTCTGGTTGTCGTTGCCATAGTAACGCTGTAACGGCTGACTTGATTTTAACGACAAACCATTTTGTTCAGGTTGCATGTGAATGCGCTCGGTATATATATAGTACTATTAATAGCATGAGTGAATGGTGAGCAAGTCATGTGAATGTATTATCGGTGAATGTTTGTGCATGTGTTTTTTCCTTATCTCCGCATGATTAGGTATGCTAATTATATTCATATATGCATCTCTTTGTAAACAGTAATTACTATCAGACTTTTAAAAGCATCGTGAGTGAATTGGTGTCGTCTTGCTGAAAGGGATTGTGGGGCTTATTGGCAACCAGTTAGAACTGGTAGTCAGTTAACCAATTGGAACCTGTAACCAGTTAACCAGTCAGAATTGGTTACCAGTTAACCAGTCAGAATTGGTTACCAGTTAACGAGTTAGAACTGGTAACCAGTGAACCAGTCGGAGCCAGTAACCAGTTAACCAGTCAGAACCAGTTACCGATTACAACTGGTAAGCAATTTATCAGCAAGAACTGGTAAATAGTTATAAACTGGTAACCAATAACCAATTAGCACTGGTAACAAGTTTACCGATCAGAAATAGTAACCAGCTATAATTGGTATCCATTTAAAACTGGTAACCAGGCTCAACTGATAATCCAGCACAAAGAATAACAAGTAAGCTTGGTTTCTAAAACTGCTTTGCATAATACTGTAAGAGTGAAAAAAAACCTATTAATTGGTTTTCAAAGGATCACATATCATTAATGTTGTTTTTAGGGTAACGTGATCTGGAGAAACGAATGAGTTTTCAGCCGTGCGTAATTGGTCAAAAGAATGCAAAACTCTTGACATGTTTTATTTTAAATTCCATTTTGATTTTGTTTTCGCCGTCGACATCTTGTAAACATTAAAAAAACTGCTGTTTATCACTTAGGCGCATTTCCTTCAATTTAGTAAAAGTATTTTAAGTATCACAGCCTTTGACAAGTTGGTAGGAATTTTTTTTTTTTTTTTTTTTTAATCTTTTGTTTTAAAATCCATAGTTGCCACCCTTCTTAAAGTTAGGAATTTTAAAATGTAGGCTTTATGTGTAGTCACTTTCAACTTCCAAGACAGTATATAAAATATAGTTGTAGCATGTTTGAATCCAAAGTAGCCTTCAGAAATCGCGCATTACTAAAGTCACTTTAAATTTCCTTAGTAATAATCACAGTGATGGCACACGGTCGTAAAAATTTTGTCCGTAGGGCTGTAATATTGATTCAATATGACGTTGCTCAGAGGAAGATCGTTAAGTCTATTTACACATAACCTGCCCCCCCCCAAGAAAACGTGACAGGAACATCAACATTTCACCACCCCAGACTTATATCCAGGATGCTTCTTTTTGTAATCCGCAATCCTCCATGGCTTTTGCCGTATTTACTTTGTGCCAACGGAAGTTTTCCCCCGATCCAGCCTGGCCGGGGAAAAGTCTCCCATCGACAAACACTGTTTCCTGCCCAAAATCTTAATCCTCCTAGGGGGCCTTTGACCGATACGGGACATTTCCATTAGTGATCGCTGGAAATGGACTACCTAGAGGGTAATGATTGAGAGAAACTGGAGGGCTTGAAAATCAGAAACCCATCAAATGGGGATTTAGAGGAAAATCTGGCCGGCCGAGAATAGGCCGACTTCCCTTATTTTTGAGTAAATAATGGAGATTTATGTAAGGTGTCAGGTTCAACAAAACACACTACTAAAAAAAAAATAGGAAGACAGGCTCTTGCAAAAAAGTGCTAAATTTAGTGATTATTTTAAGTTCCGAAACTAGAAACCAAGATTTGATTTTTGAGGTCATCCAATTCATCTGTTTTCTCTCATTTTTAAAACGCAATTATTTTTTTCTTCTAAAAAGAGTTATCCCAAGGGGGAAAAAATCTTGAATGATAAGTAAATGGGCTGCTGTGAATCATTCCCCAGGGGGATTAGCCAAGGCACCAGGGGATTATTGGATTGGGATTTGCGAGGATTAACCTTTTGATGGATGACTTGCCGAGGGGGTGACTTGATCAAGCAAAGAGGGGATCGCAAGCAAGGCGGCAATCAGGCTGGAAATGGAAGATTTGTTGTCCCGCTCCGGGGCATAATAAAAAAAGATAGATAGGAAGTGAAGAAAAAAAAACCACTCGCCAATATTTAACAGCCTTAGGTTCGAAGCCATATACCACGCACGTTATTAAATGGATTTTTTTTTTGGCGATTCTAAATATTTTTTTCCAATTTTCAGTAATACTCAAAGGACACTTGTTATGAAATTTTGTCTTTAAACGTAGAAAACCTCTCGTTCGAATTGTATTTCTGCTTTTTTTGGTTTAATTATAGTTGGTTTCTAATGCAAGTGAATTTGTTTTTATTTCAACTTCCCAACAATAGTTTGACACACAAAGGTTCTAACTCTGCAATCGCAGTTGTCGCTGTGATTACAACGTGATTGAGTTGAATATAATCAACTACCATTTCTCATTCACTTAATCGACTTTCATCTTTGGGGTCGTCTTAAATTTAGAAAACATGTATTAACAGATATGTGAGCAAATGTTGCAGAACAGCAGTATTTTATGAACAGCACAAGACATACAGCTATCACTTCTATCACACAATTCAAATCGATGCACAATCAGCAGTATATCAATGTCCATAGTCTGCGTAAGCTTTGAGGTCTCTCCTCTAAATAAATTTACCTTTAAATGTTCTTAACATATATTCCTGTAATCTAGGCAATAATAAATAACTAAAATTTCATAGACAATTTAAACAACAACGTAACTTGTAAAAGGCATGCGCTTTTCAAATGGCAAATTTGCATTTGCAAATAAGAGTTGCAGTTTTAAGAATTAATAAGCATATGTGCATTATGCGCAGTTGACATATTCAAACTTTAACATTTCTTAATACGAAACGTAGAAAATGATCCATTTATCTGACATTCCGGGTCATTCATATTTAAAAAAACAAAGAACCTTGTTCTAATCGTAGGCTTTCTTTAACGACCTAAGTAGGTTTACAAATATCAGGTTTTTCATTAAGTTTTAGTATGTACTACAGTAAGAAACAGAAATTAAGTATTTTTATACATCCGTAACAAAGAGCTGCCGTTGTACTTTACAAGTGCATCGTACTATTAATTTGATTAACTTCAAAACAATAAGTGCAAGTTAGAGATTTTGAAATATTATTTTTGAAGGATTCGCTAAAAAAAAAGGAGCTGTTAGGGAGGCTTTTCTCTTTTATTGGAATCCAAAAAGAATGGGAAACAATTTGTGAGACATATTTTAGATCAAACCATAAAATTGAGCTTTTTTTTTTTTTTTCCTTGCAACAAAATTTCATTCCGAACATTACACTTTACCTTTGTTGTGAAGATGACTGTTCGTTTTCTTTCGTGATTGGTTTAGATTTGAAGAAAAGCAAGAAACAGAAGTCAAATTGTTCATAATTTTTTTTTATGTCCCCTCTTGTTTCTTCCTCCATAATTCATCATGATCAATATTTTCTTTCTCAAAGGCACCCGAGTTCTATCTTGGTGTCACCAATTTCATAAAAGTTCCATGCAAAGTTTAACATCGGTGATTACCCTGTCAGTTTGTCCTGGGCCAAGTTTCATGGACTGTTCAGCTCAGAAATTTGCCAAGCGCGGAAATTTTTTGCTAAGCATCAAAAAACAGGTTGCCAGACAAAAAGCCATGCGATGTCTATAGCCTCTGACTGGTCCTCAGCTGTTTTTAGCGTAGCGCGTTAATTTGCTTAGGCTGTATTCAAATTATTTGGCTGTGGCTTGAAATTACACACGAGTCTATGGGAAGTGGCTGCAGCCGCTACCATAGACTCGTGTGTAATTTCAAGTCGTAGCCAAGTAATTCGGACACGGCCTTAGTAATATTCTCTGCTTAGCCGCAGCTCCATGAAATAGGGCCCAGGTCTTGTCTAAAAGATCCGTTAAGCCCCGCCCCCGTGTGGTATTTTGACCAATCACAGCTGTGATTAATATCCAACATGCCTGGCAGCGGTGTTTTTATCTGCAGCACACATCGTCAATGGATC